GTCGAGTATAGACGAGTATAATAGAGTATAGTCGAGTATAGACGAGTATAATAGAGTATAGTCGAGTATAGTCGAGTATAGTCGAATATAGTCGAGTATTTTTGACCGGGACTACCGGTTGACCTTAAAGATGCTTTAACTGTGCACTCTCCGTCCTCTATCTCGAAAACGATTCAACATATAAAAAAACTTTTTAAACAAAAGTTATAAGAAATTTAATCCTCTAAAATATTGATAATAAATACAAATATCGAAAAACCCACAGGAAACGAGATATTTGCAAAAAAATCGATTTTTGTGACTTTTGACCTTAGATTTTAATAGTCGCGTACACCCTATAATATGTAGGTTTTGAGATAACATTTAAAATGTCAAAATAAAAGTTTATACAAGTTTATAGCTTGGTATTTCCAATTTCGAGATTTTTTCCTAATTTGACTGGACTATTCACACGAGCTCTTGTTCTATTACATTTGTAATCTTTCGAGATAAGATTGTTATCGATATTTTTAAAGTATCTATATCCTTTATCGATAATATCGATTGGTCGAAGTTATGCTTCAAGTTCGATTGGTGCACTGCACATGGTTCATCATGGCGCATGAGTAAATGTTATCGTCGGATAATAATCATTTCGTGCTGATTAATTAAAAGGAAAAAGAAAGAAATAAAGAATTTATTTATAACGTTTATAAAGTGAAACAATTGGATGAAGTTAATTGAATCAAAGTTAAAGTTTGAGATGTGATTGATTGTTTTGCCCAGTTTGACAGCGGGGGTGTGACGACTTAAAGGGCCATCTCTTAAAATTCATTTCTTTTATAAATTAGTATTAAATTGTATTGTTAATAGAGTGCTCTTGTTCGTGCCTTTTACAGTTTTACTCAAATTTTGATTTGTATTACTTTCATCTTTCTACGTTACTCTGTTCAAAAATAACAATTCTACGTAAGTACAAAAAAAAGTCAAACAAACATTCACATTATTTTAAATCGTAAATTACTTCTCTTACTTCAATTGTTATAAATTTGTATTCTTTTCAATTATTGAATTATTCATTTTTACGATTTTAATGTTATTCTTGTAATATTCATTGTCAATCAAATTTGTATTATTAATTTTATGACGTTTAAGTCCAATATATTACATATACGTTTTTAGGTTAATTTTGTTTTTTAACTATGATACATATATTATGCATAATGTATAAAGTACATATAGTATAAGATACATATATTATGCATAATATATAAAGTTTGATAAAGATTTAATGTACAAAGTTAACTATAAATATTAATATTTGAAATGTCTTTGTTTTTAGGTTATTATACAAGCATTTGTTATTATTAATCTTTGGTACAATTGCATTGTCAAGTATTATTAAATGCAAAGTATTGTGCTGAAATCACGTGTCAAATATTAAGATAGAAATGCCGTTGAGTCCAATGAATCATAATACAGCAACAATGGATGTTAGAGAAGGTGCTGGTGCATCTGTTCATGTAACCACTACTTCCTGTACTCCACCTCCATCATATAACATTAATGTACCTCTTGAACATCCTTGTACGATACCCAGAGACTGTGGTGCGCCACCTTCTTATCAGGAAGCCATAAATAACTATGGTAAGTACAATTAAATGTTAATATTACAAAATATTTCATTGAAATGTTTAAACAATAAAAGTACTTTTCTTTCAGTACCTCCTCCTCCTTCATATGATTCTTTGTTTGGTCGAATAAGAGAGGTACGAAAAGTCTCCAAAGGTATATTTGATTTCATCAAAAATATTATCATTCTACTCATTTGTACAAGTACGTGATTAATTATATTATTTTAAATAACAATACGTTTAAAATTAATTTCTTTATATCAGATAATATATATATGTGTGTTTTTTATTTTGTTTCAGTTGGATTCACTATTATATTTGTTATGACAATTGCAGTTCCAATATCCATGGTTATTATTGGAGGGATGTATCTATACAAGTGTCCGCAGGGTGAATACATACCTGTTTATTTATTAGTAGGTGGAATAATTGGCATATTTAAACAATTATTACATTTATCTGCATATGTGAGACGACGAGAACAAAGAGATGAAGAAAGGATTAGGCAATCAACAACGCAAACAGTTATTAATTGCTTCATGCTTGCCTGGCTTATAATTGGTAAATAAATTTATCATAATGTTTAATTGTCCAATATATTAAATCAATTTTGACAAGTTTATATTATCGTTATTTCTTGTACTATTTGTCAGGTACTACATGGGTGTACCAGGCATACGAACCAAATTATGACTCATCCAAGGCGTTATATTGTAACAAAACTTTATATTTATTTGCATTTTGGTTGATAAACTCTATTTATATATGTTTTGGTATTTATATAGCAGGTTATTGCATTTTTACAATAGCTAGTATTGCGTTTCAAAGGCCACTACCTAATTTCATGTAAAAGACAATTGAAGTCATTTGAAATAAGAAAAAAAAAGAACCATTGTTAAATATTTTGGCTTTTTGGGAGCAAAAAAAGAAATAAGAAAAAAGGCATTTATGACGTGAGTCACTCGATATTGGGGCACAAAAAATTCGTCCACGTTTATGTACCTGAGATACTTAAACGACAATTTATGCACAGATTATTTGCGTGTTAGAAATACCACTAAAACACTTATATGTCTCATACTTATGAACTTAAGGTTGGTTATGAACAAATTTTTCATACTTATTGATACATTTATTTATAATCATTAAAAATAATACTCACTATTCTTTCTAATTTGTAATCGGTTTACAAAACTTTAATCGATAATGATGTAAAAGAAGTACTCATTCCTAATTTGTCAGTGGCTGAATGACTTTTATCTGAGAAAAGAAAAAAAAAAGGATGCTTTAATCACTTTAGGCTGTGGATATTTCGTGATAAACACGGATCTTAATCTTGTGCCAAGAGAAAGCAAGGTCGTAGGAGAAAACTATTTTGTTACTGCAGTATTGAATACAAGAAAAAACAAATGTCGAATGCAATTCGTATTTGTGTGTACGTAAAATTGATATTTACAATTTGGCATTACGTCGCATATATGCTTTGACTTTAAAAATTCGATCTCTCATCTCTCGAATAAACGTTTTTTTTTTTTTAATTAGTATTAAAAATATCTTATGAATAACAACACTGTTATAACTTTTGTAACAACAAAAATAATAGCTGTTCTTAAACCCATCATAAAATAATTGTAAATGATCAAAGATCATCTCTTTCACTTAGATGTGAAAAGAGTATTTATTACTTATGGTAAACAAGACTGCGATATTTCGCGTTAACTTAACATTATTTTGCCCTCTTATTCGTCCTTTTAAGCCTTTAATCACCTCCAGTAGGCCTTCATTGTTAATATGATAAAATCTGATCTTATACAGTTATCTTTATTGTATAATCTCTGTATCATGCGCTTGAAGATTTCCAATTTTTGAAAATATTATATTGTAATATTAAAATACCTTTTTTCTTTCGATATTACGACACAATCATTATAAAGGCTGTAGTTATTCAAGACCATAATATTTTGAAAATAAGTACAGTATATTCAATTGGTATAAACATTTGATATACAGTGGAGGAATATTAATTTAAGAATAATGTATTATAAACATAATGTTGTAACATTTTTTCCACTTTCATACATTTTTAGCTACTTTGTCTTCCTATTAAGTAAGTTATCAAATTAACTTTTCTACAAATGTGTGTATGTGTGTGTGTCTATAATAATCTCATTACTGTATATCGATTGACTAACACGCGCTTGCATTATGCTGCATTTATGAATGTTGAGAGCAAGCTTGTGCTTTTCAATATAAAATCAAGTATATTGTCGGTATAAAAAAACTTGATGTTGAAACAAGTTGAATAATAGATTTGTACATATATATACATATATATATATATATAAAATGTGATTTTAATGCACGTTTATTATAAATGAGTATATTACTCGTATTGCATTTATCGCTAATTAAATAACATTATACTATATTAATTATCCTAGTAAAACACATATTTAATGCAAAAGCAGTGTGTATCTGTAAAAAAAAAAAAAAACAATTTCTCAATCATATTATGTGCATTATTGTCTATGCACTTACGTACATTTCTTATTACAATTTTCTAAATAAACGGCTTAAAATTTCCCATTTGTATTATCTCTTCAACATGAAACGATAAATGTTCTTACTTTTGTAATGTATTATTTGCAATCTCAAAGTTCATTAAGTCTTTTTTTTATTGTGTTATATTTGTAATCATTAAAATCTTATAATTTCTAGAAATGTTTGTTAATTACTATAGAGATAAATATTTAATAAATCAAATGCACTTAAATATATTAAGTTACATTAATATGTATTGTAAATATTTCTAAATAGATTTATTATAATCTAATAACTTATTATATTATGCTACTACTATGTTATATTACGTTAATATTAACTCTTTCGTTATGGTATGCGTCATTACAAAGTGTAACCCCATACAGATAGCTAATAACGAAAGGGTTAATACGTAGGTTGGAACTTAAATAGTGGCAACCTATTTATTCACAACCGATACAAAAGAGTTACATGTTTGCACCTGTTACTGTCCTTCAAAGTAGTCACCAGCGATGTGGAAGGCGTAAAATACCGTCAGCAGAGTTTGTTCTGTTGATGGTGCGAATGGAGCTGTCTACTGCCATGTCTCATCCCGTGTTACGATACGGCGTAATAAGAAAGCCTCTCTTTGGAGCTCATAGCGCTCCAAGTGCGTCTGAGCAGCTTTGTAACGCATCCATTTCTGCATTTCCGTCAATTCATGCGGAACCCATCGTGGCATTCGCTTCAGAACTGTTCCAGGGATTCGACAAGCAGTAGACCACTCCATTCGCACCATCAACAGAACAGGCTCTGCTAATGGTATACTACACCTTCCAAATCGCTGGCAACGGGTTCTACACAACGCTGGTGACTACTTTGAAGGACAGTAACAGGTGTAAACATGTAACTCTTCTTTTGTATCGGTTGTGAATAAATAGGTTGCCACTATTTAAGTTCCAACCTACGTATAATAAATTTAATAAAATATGATAAGCATAATATAACAAGTAAAAAAAGAAAAGAAAATGACCGTTGTTATACTCAATTATTTTTTTTTTAAATATTATGTACTCAGTATTCAATAACTTGTCTGAAACATTTCAAATAAAATAAGCAAATGAGAAATAATTTGAAAGAGCAAACGTATATTTTATGTATCTTCTAGGTGAGTAATGAAATCGGATGGTGGCCTTGGGGAAAAATGTTCTGCATTTTCGTAATCTTCGTAATCGTGTAAATGATACTTTAAATATTCTTCCGGTTCCATCCAAGGCTCGTCATCGAGACACTTATCTGTTAAAGACTGCAACGATACCTGGAAGATAAGAAGGAATGAATAAATTTGAAACAAGGATGAAAAGAAAGAAGGAAACACAGATTTGAAATCTTAGAAATGTACCGGATATACATCGAATGTAATCAACGACAACTTAAAACAAATCGAAATGATGATCGAACGGAACACTCGACCCGGATATCGTGATTCTATTAATGAACATCCGAGTTGAATTGTCTGGCAAAAAGGACGAAAATAGAAAGCCGGAAATTCTCGTTAATATGAGAACAATCGAATAAGTTTCAGACGACCGTTTACAGTACTACTTTACTTCCGCTTTCTCCATTTTCAGACATCGAAAAGTATCCGTAATATATTTTCGTATTTTTTAAAATAATATTTGAATGATTTATAAAAAAAAAAAAGAATATATTAGGTCGAGTCATAAGTAACTTCCAATGCGGCTATGTAGAATCTATTTTTCGTATTTACGTACTCTAAGTTACTGAAACAAACGGATTTTTGATATCACTATATAGATGAGGATTCAGTTAGTCTTCTGTTAACTTTTTTATGCAGGATAGTAAAAAGTGCATATTCGACATGTAATGCTTTAAGAATTGAAACAAAGCAATAACACTAAAGTGGCAACTGATAACTGATAGGGTAGACAGAAATTGGTTTGTAAAATTCCGTTCTGGAGATACGATCTTAAAAGATGAACCGAGTGTAGGACGTATTTCCGACCTTGATGAACCTTTTCAAGGTAATATTGGAACAAAATCCAATAGATACGTTGAACAATTGCAAAGAGTGCAAAAAAAACTCATAAAAGGGTCAGTAAAGCCACTCTTTGTCTCATAAAAAATGGAAGTTATTTATAACTCGACCTAATAATTATGATTTTTGAGAATAAAATACCTCTTCCTGCAAAGGTACAGCTTCAGGTGGTAATAAATTAGGATTATATGGAGTTATGCAACGTGCACGCCATACAGGTAGAATACCCTTTTTCAATGGAACGGGTTGTTGTTCATCAAGAGGTATTCCTTCCGCAGGTTTATCTTCGATCGTTTCTTCTTCTTCTGTCTTTGTATCTGCTTCCGTAGCCTTATCAAATATGCATATTTTTTTATGGATTAATGTTTGAGAATATTTAAAAATGACTTACAGTATCAAAATCTTTTATTTCTTCCTTAGTTTCCTCATAATCAGGATCTCGTAGATGTACGTAATGTCCATGTTGCATGCACGCGTTTTCAAAGGTAAAACAACCGCGTCCTAATGGCTAAGATATATAGCAGAAGGTATAATATTAGAATAAGAAAAATGACCATTTCTTTGTCAATTCGATTTACGTGAGTTACCAAATTTAATTCCCAAAATCCATGATATCGATGACGTGGGTATACAATTTGACCGGGTCCTTGCATGCGATCTTTTATCCAAGTACCCATAAATTTAGTCCCAGTTGCGGCGTAGAGATACGTTCCCAAACCATGACGAAGATTCTTTTTCCAGGAACCTTCGTAAACGTCGTTATTCTCGTAGAAATATACACCAAATCCATACTTAGTATCACGCTTCCATTCGCCTGTTTTTAACGACATTCTTTTAGAAAGGTTTTTATCATTCATTTTCTTCTTCCTTTCTTTCTTTCTTTCTTTCTTACCACCCCTCCTTCTACGTTTTGATCTATCATCCTACGTAATATTTATAAAAATATCAGACACTATAATTACAGATTTACGTAATCGAGATATCAACAGACTGTTTTTTTTTCTTGGAATATCTTCTAACTTGTTATTAGAAATAAAAAAAAAAAAAACACCTTCATTCTATTATGTCTCGGATCTCTCAGGAGGAGGAGGAGGAAGTGTCAATGGTCGGCTCGTAATATAATATCGTATTATATTTAGCAACGATGAATAAAAGTTTGATATCTAGTCGAACTACTTTCTTTCTTTCTTTCTTTCTTTCTTTCTATTTTCTTCCAATTAATCAAATATTATTGTACCACTTATGTAGAAGAAATAATAAAGTTACACGCATATCGTGTAAGTATACGTGCACATGTGTGTTTGTGTGTATACGTAACGTACGTTCGTTGATGATTTGGAAAAATATTTCTTCGAATTTCTAAGGTACGAAACAAAAATAATTGTGTGGATACACGTGTTGAGTGTCGACCCACGTCAAGTGGCTTCTTTGAATCTGAATCGGATCCTATTTTCGTACATTCTTCCGTACCTTCGTATCGCGTTCCATCGGGGTACCAAAAAATCCCTTGGCCGTATTTAAGTCCCTGTCTCCATTCTCCGTCGTATCGAGCACCATTCTTGAATACATAGATACCTTTGCCATTTCTTAGTCCTTCGCAATATTGACCAACGTACATGTCTCCATTGGGTAACAAAGTTTTACCGAAACCGTGTCGACTACCTTGCTCATTTCTCTCCCCTTCGTACAACTAAAATTACAAATACATTTTCTACGAATTTTCTATTAACGAATTAACATTCAAAGATAAATCGTGTATATATTTCTTGTTGAATTCCATTAAAATAATAAAAAATTAATTACGCCAAGAGGATTTTCTTCAACTTCTCCGTATTCGCCGGGAGTCAGCAGAGGTTCTGTCATTTTTTACTAACACAAAAACAAACTATTATATTATAATTATCGAAACTTACATAAACGATTCTAATTTGTTTTTTTTTGCAATAAAATATACTAGATTAATGTAATGACGCCTTTACGTCATCATTGTCAATGTAATAGCATGAAAGGTGCTCTCATTGCTTTTATAAATAGAATAACATATATTAGAATGATATAAAAATATAAAAATCAAATAAAATAATAGTTAAGAAGAAATACTTTTTCTTCACGTTTTATTTTGCGTGGGTACAAAATATTTCTTTTTAAATTTAATTAGCATCTACAGGTTTTACTTGTTTGATCTCTGATATTTTTCTCTCTTATGAGCTTTTATTTTTATTTTTTTGTTTTAATTACTCGCTAATAAATTAATCTTATTTCTTAATTTTTATAAAATAAAATCATACAAAACAAGGTATCAAAAGATAAACACGAATTTGACGTATATTTAAGGGTATATTTTTTGTTTGATTATTTTCTTCTTATTCTTTTTTCTTTTTTTTTTTTTTTATACAGACACTAACAATAATAAGATATTATAAACATAGTTGTACAATAAATTCATTCTTTCAATTTTCTTAGTATATTCTTTTAATAACACAGAAAAATTCTCACAATTGTACTCTCCTCAATACAAGATATATACTTTCGATTATGTCATGTCTTTTGTTGATTGTTTTTTTTTTTTTGCAATTTTGTCAAAGAACCACCTGTGCGATCAATTAACACATGACGACTGACGACTTATGATCGTGTAATAATAATTTCGTCACGTCACCGACCGGTTAACAAACCAATCAAAGCTTGCTTCTCTTTTTCCTTTTTTCGTACAGTTTCCAAATTTCGTTGCTTCCATGAACTTTTTCGTAATTTTATTGGCCGAGATCCCACGTATCGTCCTTAAATAGAAAAGAATATGATTAAACATGTTATTATCATAATTAACAACTAATTATGTGTTAAATAATATAATTTAAGTGAAAACTTCTTTAAAATGGGTGTGATTTGAAAAAATGTAACGGAGCGGTAGGCGGCGGTGTAACAGAGCAGCGGGCGTCTATGAAACGATCAAGATACTAAATAAGAAGAGAAAAAGAGACAAACATATCGGATTAAACCTGCGAGAGAATGAGACAGAATATAGCTATACACTTTTTCTTATTCTCGGTCTTTGACTCGTAGTTCGCACCGCACCGCATTCCGCATTCCGCATATATATACATATACATATATCCCTCCAACAACACGATTTCTCCTAACACGGTTTTGCAATTACACGATTTACAATTTGCGGGAATCCTCCTACAACACGGCATTGATATATATATAATGATATATAATATATGATATATATCAATATGATGATATATAATATAATGATGATATAATAATATAATTAATAATATTAATAAAAAAGGTTGGAGTACGCTTAACCCAAAACGCTTAACGCAAAACGCGAAACACTAAACTTGTATACTAGTACTACTTAGTATACTAGTATTACTAGTACTTAGTATACTAGTATACTATTACTTAGTTAAGTTTTATTTGTTAGTATTAGTATTACTATACTTAGTATACTAGTACTTAGTATACTAGTATACTATCACTTAGTTAAGTTTTATTTATTAGTATTAGTATTACTATACTTAGTATACTAGTATAATAATACTTTGTGTAAATATATCTACAATTAATAAAATAAACGAGAGATAATAGTTAGATAAAAATAATGTTAATAAATAAATCATTGAAATGTTAATAATATCAATAAAGTTGAAATGATATTATTTCGTACAATTGTATATTATTAAATGAAGAATTTAATAATGTGATATTATTTATCTATAAAAGTATAATAAAATTAATTAAATGCAATAAACTTTTGAAATTTTGCACGATCAAAGAGAATGAATAGAATGAAACACAGAGAATATAATGGTGAAATCAAAATTTAATATATGTTTTTGTTTGAATAAAATTTTATCTGTAAACATTCTTGAAAAGAACAAATAAACTATGTCACTTAAGAAGAGAGAGAAAGAGAGAGAGAAAGAGAGAAAAAGAAAACATTCTAGCAGCAACAGGTGATAACTACGACGTATCTATTTCATATTTTCATCTTTCATTCTCAATTATATATTTCAATAGAAATTTTATATTGTAAAAAAGTCTTTTATAAACGTCCCCCACACGTATCTGCATGTCTAAAGGAGAATATTTCTGAAGCATCCATTTACTGCGACATATTTTCTACTTTTATATAGCAATTTTGATCATATATTCTACGACATCCTTGATATTCTTTTATATACAAATTTACCTTGAAAAGAATTTTATTTATTCCCTCTTTTTTTTTTTTTTTTTTTAACAATTTACAATGGTGGAAGGTGGAAAAAGAATTGATTGATTCGAAACTACTCTCTCTTACTCGATAAAACACGTACAAGCACATCATTGTACATTTTTTTTTTTTTTATTATTATTTTTATTTTTTTTTTTATAAAAATCTAAAGAAGAAAAAGAGTATTTGTTAAATTGACCACATACCAATGTAATAAAAAAAGACAAAATTAATAATACGTGTTTCGAATATAAATGTACGATGTGATATTTTTTTTTTTTTTTAGATAAAAATCTTTCCTGAAATCAATAATTTTGATTTAAGTTAAAAACAAGTCTCATATTTTCGTTCTAACGTTAATAACAAATAATTTAATCGAACAATATTTCGTAGGAAAAGAAGAAAATGTAAGAAGGTTGTTAAAACATTTGTTAAATAGAAAAGTTCGTTAATTAAATTCAACCTTCTGAACTTGATACTACGAACTCGGCTGACCCGAAGAGGATGATCTGGTTGTTCAGATTAGAGGAGGGTTCAAGAACAAGAAGAAAGAAGAAAGAAGAAGAAGAAGAAGAAGAAAAAGAAAAAAAGGGACACGAGATATGACGGCAACGGGTCTGCGTGAAAAAGAATTTGTGCGATGCCAACGCAACTTGGTTAAAAAAAAGTCTCGAGATCCGAAAATACACAGCTTCGCAGAGTCATCAATGAGAATTCCCTCAATTTAACACACCCATACTTTTCTCTCTCTCTCTCTCTCTCACCCCTTCTATATTTGTCTTTCGTTTTAGAACAAACAAAAAATAACAAGATAAGAGTTTTACGACACCTACAACAGTTCACTAAGAAATGAACAATGACAAATTCGTGTTAACTTTTCTCCCTTATCATAAAATAATCAAACAAACAAATACTTTCTTTTTTAACTAACTTTTTACAAGATCTTCATTTAATTATTAGAAAAAAAAAAAAGAAAGAAAATAAATACAAGATCGAGAACACAGATCAGAGATGTGTGTGTAAATTGTTGTAATCAATGATGCGCAAGGTTTCACCCAGGACTATAAAACAAATTCATTCCACGTTGGTACCTCAAACGCATTTCAAATATCCATTCAAAATTCATCATTTCTGTATCTCGATCTGATTTATATATTGTTTATTATATAATTATATATTATATGTTTATGGTCTTATATTTTTTTATTTTTATGTATATTATATATTTTATTTTTTTTTTTAAATGTATTTATATATTCTTTATTATATGTTTTGGGATTATATGGGGTATATACATAATATAATAACTATATAACATAAAATAATACATATATTGGATATTATATGTTTATGGCATTATATGGTATTATATGTATATGTTTATGATAATCTAAGGTTAAAAAATACAAATGATGGAGAATGAGAGAAAAGTGTTAAAAGTATTCATTAAAAATCGCTTACCAATGAGGTAACCAATATGAGATGTAAATAGGTCAGGGTATGATGTGACCCATGGTCACGTATTCCATTAAGTAAGGAAGATGTAATTAATTTAATCGTGAAAAGGACTGCTTAAAAACGACAGACCCATGAAACGTGTCCTTTCCTTGTTTGGTGTCAGCCGATAAAAGGGTAAAGAAAATAGAGAGAGAGAGAGAGAGAAAGAGAGAAACAAGGAGGGTTAGAAAGTAATTAGTTCAGATATTCGTAAATAAGAAAGTATCTTAACTCCAATTGATTATTTCGAAAACTAATCATCATCATCATCATTGAAGAAGAAAAAACATTGAACATTTGTCTACTTCTAGGATTGTCTGTTTTTCTTCTAATCGATGACACACATTGGCAATATTCGATCATCATCATTGAAGAAGAAAAAAACATTGAACATTTGTCTACTTCTAGGATTGTCTGTTTTTCTTCTAATCGATGACACACATTGGCAATATTCGATATTTTTTAATATCAAATCTATAATAATCTATCGTGATAATAATGGCGATGATAAAGAAGACGACGATATCTCGTGTCGCGTTTATATTTTATAATACTTCCTGTGGTTGTGGATCGATAAATAGTAGATAAAAGTACACGTTAAACGTTTAATATTGAACGATATTACCGGAAAACGGGATATTTTGATGATTGAATTGAACAAATGTATTAGCATAATTTAAACGATCCTTTTGATACACGAACGACGATAATTTGAAAAGAAATTGTGGATTATTTTTTTTTCTTGTTCGCGTGTCTTTTTATTTTCTTACTTTCTTTCTTACTTTCTTATACTTTCTTTCTTTTTTTGATTCGTTGTACGAAATAATCAAATATGTTTTCTATATTTTACATTCGAGAAATCTTACGTCGCCCACGCAATTTCAAATTCCTTTCTAAATTCTTCTTCGAATTCCAAGAATAATCTGGGCTGTTACATTCCTCACCCCCCTCAGTTTATTATATGAAAACTTCTGTCAACGGCAACGAATGTTACAAACATTCAAAGATTCATACGTGCCAACGTGTGGCATCAGTATTTCTTCCTTCTTAAAGATCTTGGTAATAGGTGCGAGAGACAACACATCGTCGTTTTAAAATAAATCATGTTACTCGAATTGTTTATATTCTTTGCTCGGAAAAATAGACTCCCGATGAAAAAGAGAAAAAAAGAAAAATAGCGAAAGAAACACACACACACACACACAGTGAGAGAAAGAAAGAGAACAATATCTTCTTTCTATTTTAAAATACATTCGATTGTAATTTTAATTAATTGTAAATAATTTTAATTAAATTTCACTTACGATTAAAAATTCATTTTAAAAATCTTACGAATGATGATGATCTTTTCACGTAGATATCTATAATATTAAAATTACAACAATCGAAGATAAATTTAGAAGAAATAAATTATAAAAGGATCTCTCTGTCTCTGTCTGTCTCTCTCTCTCTCTCTCTCTCTGTGTGTGCGAAACCGTCCGATCGTACGATCACTCGAACTACTTGTTGCGTCTGACTAATATCGGAATGTACCACTTAGCATAGGATACTAGAAATACGTGACTTCAGTTTTTTTTTTTTTTTTTTCGTTATTTTTTTCTTCTATTTTTTATTTTTTCATACGCCCACGATGATATATATATATATCGAAAGAAAGTTCCCCTAGAACGATCTCTCCCTTTCTCTCTCTCTCTCTCTTTCTTTCTCTCTCTGTGTTTTTACAACGAATCCAAAGTTTATTTATTGTTCCTGTTCGAATCGAGATTATTACGAAATATAGTTGACACGTAACAATAATAAAAGTTTTTGATGAACTTAGACTTAGTTTAGTTTGCAAAAGAGAAAGAGAAAGAGAGAGAGAGAGAGAGAGAAAATGTTAATATATTTTGCGTGAACAATTGTTATCAAAGAATATAAACAGATATTATTTGTTTTTATTTGAAAAATGAACGATTTATTGAACGATCATTAAATAATTATTGAATTGATTTGAATTTAACCGAGGAATGACAATTTGTATGAAAAAAAAAAAAAAAACAAGGAAATTAATAATTCGAAAAAAAATGTTAGACATTTTTGTTGACAGAAGAAGCTAGGAATATATATTCGTACGTCATTGAACTCTTAAGTAGAGTAAATGAGATCCTAGAGAATAAGATATCGCGTCGCAATAAGTTCCATGACGGTTAATAAAGATTTCTACGGACATCCGCAAGTTTATTTCGTGTTGCGAGTGGCAAAGCATGGGAGAGATAGAGATGATCTGATTCATTCGATGGCCGCAAACAAGAAGATGAAGTGGAGGATACACGTCGTTCGTTGTAGTTGTGTTGCCTCTTTCGAAACTTGACTAAATGAGAGACAAAAAGGAAAAGAAATCAAATCGAAAAAATGAAAAAATATCAGAAGAGAGAAAACGGCGGCAAACGGGCAACACTTCAATGTGATTGGCTAGAAGTTGATAGGGTGGGAGGTACGAAGGCGATATCCGAAGGGTAGGGGTTGTTGAATGAGTACCACAGGACGCTCGACGTCGCGATGCATTCCGTCGAAGTTACCCTGACACGATATCATCGGTATCTCTGGGATGACTGAATTATCCCACGGGACGGAAACGAAACGAGTTCGACTAATTAACGACGAGTAAAAAGAATTTGTTCTTGAGAATTATTACTTTTACCTAAGACGATCGAACGAACGACCAACCGACCGGTACTCTGTTTCCAAAGGTACGATTATTATTACTTTATTTACTTTTTTTTTTTGATTCATTATTAAAACCACTTCTTCAAGAATACTGCTATTATACGTGGATGGGTTGACAAGTTATGTGAGCTCACTTTTATTTGAAGAATAAAATGACATATTTTTTCGTTGCGACTCAAATGACTTTTTAACTCATTCTTGTATATTCAAATTTATATACTAACATTTTGTTTATCATTAAAACCTTTTAAAGAAACCAACATGTATGTTTATGTTAAAATTATTCTATGGGAACATAGTTTAGTCCTTTTGTTAAATTGGTTTTCAAAAATTCATCCCCTAATAGGCCCAACAAATTTGTTTCTTCTTCTTCTTCTTCTCTTTTATCATTCGTATATCTTTTCGTTGCAGCTCAAATGATTTTTCAACTCTTTTTCGTATATTAAAATTTATACACTAACGTTTTTTTTTTTAATTATTAAAACCTCTTAAAGGAAACCAACATGAACAAAGTTTACTCTCTTTGTTAAATTGGTTTTCAAAAATTCATCCCTTAATAGGTCCAACAAATTTGTTTGATCTTTTCTTTTCTTTTTTCTTCATCTTCTTCTTTTTCTTCTCTTTTATCACTTTCTAATAATTTCATTTATTTTATTTTTGTCTTCTAAGTTTTCTTCCTGTAATCCAAGAAACTGGAAACTTCAATAATCTCGTTCATATAAATCGATATGAATTATTTAAAAAATTCTAATCATTTAAATGGATTTTTGCTATTAGCATAATTGCTGATAGAATATTATTCGACATTTATTATAACTTATTTATTATAACAACTTTAACTTAATATTAACAACGATATTGCTGTAGAAATAACAAAATATCCTAGTTTCATTCCGAGTATTACAAATTGCATCGAGATATTTCTTCTTTCGTGGAAATTCAAACATCAAATATGGAAAATAAAATGTAAATCATATAAATCGATTAGGACTGATGATTGAGTTACGCGATGCGTGATCGTATAAAAGTTCCATCGTATAATTCGCGTTCGTATAATTTATCGACAAACGTATAATAACTCCACGTATTCGCATAATCAAAAATTGTATCCCTTTTTTCTTTTTCTTATTCTTTTTTTTTTTTTTTATATCGTAAATTCATGCGTTTGTTTACTCTGTGATTGAGAAACACACGAATATAAACTTACTAAAATTAGAAAGAATTTCTTATAAATAGAATGCTCATTACTGAAATATCATGAAAACGTAAACAACATTTATCTTCATCGTTGACAGATATTTTTTAATCATTTAATTAATTAATTGTTCAGCGTATTTTTATTTGACGAAATGAAATCACGCAAAATTTTTTAATTATTGCAGAGAGACATAACCGAGGAAAGTTTTAAGCACTGATTTTTCTGATTAACAACTAAATATTCTTAACGATTTTCCAAAACGAGAAACGAACAACGAGATAATGAGAACAATAGAGGATATCTTTCTTATCTTAGGACTGAATATATTTCGGTTGTTAACGATTTATGGTGCACCCTTATCAAACCCAAAAATTGATTGGGAAAAAGGAGACAATTTGACACCTGTTATCACAACTGATTGCGCGACAAATCTACGATGCTTGGAAGTGTTACCACTTGAACCAGTTTCTAGCGATGCGATCATTATTCCCGAGGATATATCAGAGACAAGGTATTTTAACAAATGTTTAAATTAAAAACATGATTCATTAAAGTAAAATCTCCCCGAGATGTTTCGAAATAAATTGCTTCGATAATAAATGAACTGAAAGTAAAATAATTTGACTGTGTTCTAAAACAACAACAACAACAATAACAGTTGCATCGATAACAATCTCGTAAAATCTTTGATTTGAACAAAAAAAAAAAAAAAAAAAAGAAAAAAAAATAAGAACACACCACTTTTCAGCGAGTACGTAACGAATTATTTTTAATTCGGTTGGTATCACGAAATCGATATGGAATTTACAAAACAGGTCAATAAAAATGTTTCAACTGATAGACGGTCTTAAGTAATTGCACAAATGCAATGTGTGAATGTATTCAAGAGCGCATATATTTGATTATAATGACAGCCTGATATACCCACGCACGATCTTTCCTATGCCAATGAAATAACTACTCTATGACATTTTCAGATTACCAACTAGACGACAGATTACAAATGCAGGAACTGACTCAGTATTACAATCATGGAAAGACAGTGCTCCTATTTTGGAGAACGAATCTCGGCCATTATTACCGGTTAAACGAGTCTCAAATAAAATGATTAAAAAGGATTCATTGTTGTCACATGGTTGGGGTGCGGGTGGTATGCCATTTTCTGTTCTTTACATGACACCACATGGATCTAGGCTCAATCATGGTAGCAACACCGCAACGGGTAAGATATTGAAGTATAAAAGACTATTGTGACATATTTGAATATATTGTTTTGTAAATTGTAGGAACGAGTCATCAACAAGATGTTGGAAAAACTATTGAAAATCCTACAGTGCCTTTAGTACAACCCAATTATCGAGTCGTTTCTAGAAATGGACCATCTGTGCAATCGAGACGACAATATCCGATAATACCTCAGCTCTTTATATCATACGGATGGGGATCACTTGGAAAATAGACGACATAGACTCTCTTGACGATTTAATAGATAATTCTGAAGAACAAGACTATGATCTCATTACATTTTAAAATCATTCTGCGATCGCTTTATATTTAGAAAACATTGTGCCGATTTCATTCTAATTCTATATCATAAATATATTTATAGATATAAATATATATAACATATATATATATAGATAATCGTTATAGCTGAGAATAATTGCTAATAGTCGATTTAATTTATGTTACACCTAATTCTTTGTAGATAAATACGTTAGAATGATTTAAAGAGATGTAATACATTTTTCCAAACCTCATATATCGTAGAATTCAAATAAAAGATAACATTATAAGATATTCCTCGATTAAAATAAAATCATTTTTGGTTGTACTCACCATTCATTTCTTTCATAGCTTTGATAAAATCTTGTGGATCTTTAAAAGACACAAATCCAAAACCTTTAGTCTTGTTTGTTCGTTTGTCTCTAACTACTTTTGCTTTTTGAAAACTAGGATATTTGCCAAATACCCTTACAAGCATTTCATCAGTAACATCATTTCCCAAATCACCACAAAATATTCTGAAGTCATCTAAATATAATTAAAAAAAAAAAAAAAACAAACGACAAAAATTAGAAATAATTGCACACACATGTTTTTTTTTTTTTTTGTTAATAAATATTTCAAATACCTACCTTCGTCCCATTCTAATAAAGAAGGATCTTCCCAAGTTTGTCCACCAGCCATCCTGATAATTTTTTTATTTTTTTTTCCTTTACCTTTAGGATGACTTTCCTCGGCACTAGCGTTTGCCATAATGGAACTGGCCTTTCCTTGACTAATGGCCAATTCTGCCGCCGTACTGACTCCTTTAACCTTTGGTTTCTTTTTACCTTCATCTTCTGGTATCTTTGTATTGATAATCTGTTCAATAATTTCTGGATGAATCATGGGTGCAGACGTAGATTCGTAAGTTTTTGGAGTTGCACTTAAACACGGATCCACCATATTTGGTAAATACGGATTACTTATCTGTGCAGGTGAAGAATATGTTGTAATAGGAACCGTACCTGTAAATAGAAGAAGTTAATGTTAAATAGAATCATCTCTATGAACAAAGAAATTTGCATATATTTAACAATGTTTAATATATTTACCTTGTCTAGCAACTTGTTGTGGTATTAACATTGGCGGTGGTGGAGGTGGTGGTGGCGGTGGAGGTGGTGGAGGAAAACCTATCATCGGTGGAAATGCTAACGTTGCTGCAGCTGCTGCAACAACCGGTGTTGGAAGTTCATGTTGTTCTAATTGACGAGCTACCTGATTATATGTATTGGCTCCTATTACAGGTCTAACCATTGGAGTAACTAACTGTCCACCAATTTCAGCTTCAAACCTATGGATTTTGATTTATTAAATATTTTCATTTACAAAATCAAATGAAAAGTTTCACACACATATCTTTGAAAATGATCTGAGGTTAAGTTAAATGATGTATGTCTTCCTCATTTTTATTACCTGCTCATTTCATCTTCCATTTGTCTGAGTTTGTCTTCCATTTTTATGAAATTTCTTCTACACTTTTTGCACAAAAAATGTTCTGAAAAACTTTTAAAACTTTAATTAAATATAAATTAACAAGTAAACTTAAGGGAATAACGTGAAGTAGAATATAAATGCCGTTTGGCTTGAAGTTGGTTTCAATAAGGGTTCTCAACCGTTTGATTTTAAAATTACCATTGCGACAAAAGCGCCAGCTAGTAGTAGAGTCAAGAACTAATATTAAATGAAATTGTGTGTTTTATACATAAAGATACTATACATAGTGCAGCAAGCCAGCATAAAACCTGTCAGTGAAATAAAAAGAGATAGAACATGAGAGGTTGATGTTGTCTCTCTCTAACTTGCGCTGAGCGGTACATGCGCATTAGTCTCTGCTAATAGAGGTTAAGGTAGCTGGTATCGTATACATACGTTATAGTCTAATGCGCATGCATGAGTTAGAGAGAGACAACATCAACCTTTCGTGTTTTACTGCTATATTCATGCAGAGACATTTCCACTTACACAACCGCCTATGGTTTATCTACTCTATCTGTAATATCTCTATGGTTTTATTGAAATCAAACAATTATTTCAACTATTACGTGATTGTAACCCAAAAGCATTAAAAAATTAATTTATCTGTAAAAAATATTAAAGAATATTTTGAATTATATCAACTGTTGCTTGAAGTTATAGGAAATATTAAAATTACTAGAAATTTGATTGGTAATACTGAGATCAGCTGATAAAACAGTAACAAACTTCAGTAGACATAAAAGAAGAAACATGAATTCTTCGTTGAAATTAGTTTCAGTTATTTTTATAATTATTAATTTAATTAGCGATCATATTAATGCAGAACATGATGAGGATCAATCAACCGATCTTTATGTCATCGAAGGAAAAGTATTCCCATGGGAAAACACTGCTTCAAGTGGTTGGCAGTTAATGACTCATGTTATGGCTAACGGCGGTGAACATTATGGATTTTTAAGGTAAATAATAATAATGTATTTATATAAAATATAAAATTAATAATTAAATATTTACATTTTACATTTAATGTTGTCCATGTAAATTTGCAATCTTAATTAATTCATTTAATAATGCAATACATTTTTTCAGGGAAGATGGAACATTTGTCATTTCTAACGTGCCATCAGGTTCATATATAGTAGAAGTTGTCAATCCTAATTACTTTTATGAGCCTGTCAGAGTAGAAATTAATTCCAAAGGAAAATTCAGGGCACGTAAAGTTAATTTAATTCAAACTTCGCAAATCATTCAAGTACCATATCCATTAAAAATGAGACCACTTTCTCCGTTCCGTTATTTCCAAGTTAGGGAGCAATGGAGAGTAACAGATTTCTTATTTAATCCAATGGTAATTGTCAATATTGCAACATTCTTGTTGCATTTATGTTTAATGTAACATTATAATTTTTTACCTATTAACTATATTTGTTTTAGGTTTTGATGATGATCTTACCATTGGTCCTAGTTATGATTATACCAAAAATTATAAATGATCCAGAAACTAGAAAGGTTTGTTAAAAACGAATTATAAAATTGTGTACAGTAGATTCCTATATAACATGATTAACCTTTGCTTACCACCCTTCCTGGAGTAACACGCTTACCACACCCGGGTCCAAAGGACCCGGGCAAGGAAAATCATTATAAAAAAGAAACTATTGCATAGATTTACTTCAACATTTTTTTGAGACTTCTTTAATACTTACTTAAAAAGACTATACAGGTTTTATAGCTTTAAATTAAATTTAAATATGTTTTAAAAAAATTACCAAAGTTGAGTACAATTGAGAAAAATGACTCAAGTTGCAAAAAAGGTCTGGGTCCTTTCGGACCAAGTGTGGTAAGCAAAGGTTAATATGTTAAGCTTCGTATGAATATAATCTACTTTTTTTTTTATCTATTTTTAGGATATGGAACAACTAAATAATTTAACAATTTATAACATGCCTGAAATGTCAGAAGTAATAACGTCATTTTTATCTGGTGGAGAAAAACCAAAACCAAAGGCAGTGAAAGCGGCTAAGAAAAGACAATAATGAAATAAGAAAATTAGTAATAAATATATTTATACCTTTTTTTTTTCTTTTTTTAGTCTTCAAATTTTCAATGTTTCATAAAATTGATTTTTAAAAGAAAAGAAAAAAACAAAAACAAAAATAACACACTTAAATACACATTTGTAATCAAAGCCAGCAATGAATGTGGGTTACAGAGAAAATTGTGCATTGTTGATATATTAAAAATTTCACCAAAAATGTATATTTAATTATAGGGTTAAATATTTCTACGTTATATTTATTTGTGATATGTTTTTTTTTCTTTTCACATTTATCTTGTTTATTTATAATATTCTATTAGATAAAAAACTATATCCTAATATTTTCTCAATTATATATACATTCTTTCATGATAAAAGTATGAATCATAGTGACACGAATATCGAATCCGGAAAGAAATTGATTACAAAAAAGTTCAGCTGTCTTTCTTGGAATTTTACTAAAGATACAGACAAAAACTATTCACTAAGGATGACACATTAATGTTATCGGATGTGAACAAAAATAAATCTTTACTATACTTAAGTAAAACTTAATATATATATATTAAGTCTTGTATACAAGATCATCTACCATAAAATGACGTGAAATATGAGACGGTTAATATTAAGATATTCCAGATGTTACTATACCACACGTTTATTAATAAATAATTAAACTAAAAAAGGACTCTTCGTTATACCCAAAGAAACAAATTCTGTAATAAACAGAACAAAAAAGTGAATTATAAAATTATTTTATTTTTACGAACTATGAATAATAATCGATGTACAAATATTTACACAAAAAGGTTTAAACATAAAACATTAAAATTAATATTAAATTATTGCATCTAACAATAGTTGAAATAATTTATAAGTAAATATAAATAATTAGAAGATGTTTGTATTCACCTACGCGTTTTGGATTAATCCTTTCTTATTACAAATATTTATCGTTAGAGTAGTTACAACATCGGACGATGATCGTATACATATTCAGGCGGATCTGAAAGCCCGAAGGTGAAAAAAAAATGGGTAAAGATGGCTGGTCTTGACTGTGATTCAGCGTTGGACGATGCGAGCTCCGAAACCCGCCGGTCTCTCCTTCTTCCTTCCAGGAATTCGTACACTGCCAATTGAGAGAACCTTCGGCATCACGACTTCATTCAACAAGAGTAACCCATACGTGATACGGTTCGACAAGCCTATCCAAACTATAACTGTATTTTAATACTTGTGAATACGCACACGCACCAAATAAACTATAATCGAAAATTCTACGATTTATTATTGCTTAAAACAATTCATTGATAAGAACATTATTATTTAGTTCAGTACGTATTCTCTTTGTATATTTTTAACATACGTTTAAATAATTATACTAAGAGATATAATTTCGTTAAGACGTAAGCAAGTAAATAATACGTTTATCAATTTTTCAAAAATAATTTCGATACGTTTGATATAATCATCACTGTTTAGATCAAAACTTGTTATACATTATATTCATTTTTTTAAATGTCATAACAAATATATCGAATGAGTGTATAATTCTATCGTCGCACAGTTACACACAAATTAATAAAACTAAATTCTATTATTTACACATTTTTTTAGTTACTCCCGGAAGTAGAAATTTTCCTTCGCCAAATTATACGTTTACTGATAACATAATCGTGTTTTAATGTTGACTAATTAAAAATTGTAATTTTTTACAGTATTAACAAAAAGGAAAAGAAACAAACACAACGAATGGGTTGAAAATCTTTCAGTTGCCGACGATCAGTCGAACGAATCTGATCAATCTCAAGTGTTCCAAAATCCAATAAATCACAAAGGTAAAGAAGAAGGAGGATTGAGGAAGCTCAAACTCTTTCACTTAGTCACTTTCCACATCGACTGCACCGAACTGAATCCGTGAGAAACCTGTGTTCTTCAAACTAGGAAGAGCTTGATGACGCACGCAAATTACCAGGAAGAAATCGTCTTGTAAGTCAAAAGATACGCGACGACGAGTCAGCCGATGCGTGTGTCGTTGGGATACAACACACGATTCCTCGTTTTTCTTCTCGTCCAAATTATTCAAGTCGTCTTTGTGATTGTTTTTATCGTTGATGTCAATGTCCATGAATCATTTGCGATCTACCACCAATGCAAAGATCAAGATCGAAGATCGAGAACGTTACTCAACATCAAACAAGACGGTACAAATCACCCGATTAATCCTCAAAAACGAAGATCGGAAAAAGATAAGCGAATTGACGAAAAACAAGGATGAAAAAACAAATCATGACATTAGTACAAAGCTCGAAACACTTCGAGTATCTACGGAAAACTCTACAGAAGAGATCTCGAAAAAGAAGATTGTACGTCGTACTGATGATTCTCAAGAAAATGACGTGGATAAACAATTGGAATTAGAGGAAGGAGGATCGACTGATTCAAGTCCTGTTATGGTTCCATATGGCAAGTATTTTGTTTATCGAAATTGTGTTGCATTTTGATTAAACAAATTATTATTTCTATCAGAATTTCCAAAAATGTTGATCTTTTCAGATCCATCCGAATGGAATTCGAATCACGTAGCATCGTGGATTTCATGGTGCTGTCGAGCATTTGCTATAAAACAACCACCGATACCGAAGACTCTTCCATCAACCGGAAAAGAGTTGCTGAAGTTGTCATTGGAGGATTGGCAAGGTATTCCGGGTGGTCGAATTTTGGCGAGGCATTTGGGTTACCTGCGTTTACAGGCAACCGGTGTGCACAGTCCGGCGTTGCTTCAAGATGAGAAAGTGGAAGGTGAGTCAGATGTGCTCGCAAATGCATGTTGCGTAATCAAATTACACGAATCGATTGAAAGTTTTTTAAATCTATCTTCTCTCTCTCTCTCTCTCTCTTTCTCTCTTTCTAAAAAAGAAGAAGAAAAAAAAATACCTGTCACGTAACAGGAGAATCGACGGCAAGTAATTTCGTTATATTCCGGAATTATCCTCAAACATTTCTCATTGAAAATTATAAAACAAAATAAACGATTCCTTCTAAATGAAAAAAAAAAAATAAATAAATAGTCTTTTAAGTTGTAAACGATTATTCGATTCGTTTATTTTATTCTTAATGCATTTCCCAATGTAAAGAAACTTCAACGATGGGAGCATTAACACGTTCCATGCAATAAATCTAAATGGCACAGGGTTGGTAGAGTTCAGGAGGGGTTAATAAGAGTTTCGATTCGGACCAAGAGTGACCGGAAGAGGTTAATCGTTCCCCAGGGGTTGGTTCTGAGCTCTCAATGACCTTATCTGAACTCTTAACGAGGGCGCGATCTATTAGAGATAAAACCGGTCCAGCGGAAAAGTAAATATGGAGGGAGATAATGGTTTTATATCCGTCCGTTTCCATTCACACCCTCAAACTAAATTCGATCAAAAGGGAAAAGACTTATGTCGATCGTTTGTACGTTTGTGACTGTGACTTTGAAATTCATTACAATCGATAAAAGACCATTCAATGAGATAAATAAAAAGATAGACGTGAAGAAAGACAAGAAAACATTCATTTGGGAGAAAAATAAAAGATTGAAATACTATCAATAAGAAAAAGGAATTTACGAAGAAGATATCAAAGACAAACGGCATAGGAGATTTCATTCAATGATTTGTAAATGGATCAATTAATAACCAAATAATTTATCTTAAGATAATTACAATAATAATACAATATTCTAACCATTCCAATAAGACAATTCAATCGAAATTTTTAACATACTTAAAATATAACACAAGTGACATAAAAAGTAACATAAAAAAATACTATAAGCAGATAGTAACTCAAAGTATAGTCAAAGTTAGGAACATGGAAATATAGACTCATAAGAGGAGTCGAAGGGGGTGACCTAAGTCAAAAGGTATTCCAGAAAGACGAAAAGTTCAAGCTTTGGTTGTTGAAGAAGGAAAAGAATAGAATAGAAAAAGAGAAGGAAGAGAAGAAGAAGCAGCAGCAGCAGTAATCTTGGCATGGTAAGCCCAAGAGATATATCGTCCGTTTGAATAACGTTGTACGTTCACGTTGAGAGTGAAAGAGAAAGAGAGAGAGAGAGACAGAGAGACAGAGAGAGGTACCCGTTTATTAAACGAATCAGTGTTATCGCGGTGAGAGTGTCCTCATGAATAAACCATCGAGTGTTTAGGGCGGTGGAAAGATGGTGCCATGAGGGGTTACGGCCTTACGGGGCAAACTGAACCCCTACCTCTCTAACTTCTCTTCTGCTCTTTCCTTCCTCTTCTTACCATCATTTCATTCTCTCTCACTTCACCACCACCCACTCTCTATCTTTCTTTATTTCTCTTTCCCTCTCCCTTACACTCAGAACCTGGGGAAATTTTGCGGACTTGGGGGTTGACGCTAAGCTCGCCACAGGACGCGACTATATTGTTTTCTTGATGAGCGCGAAACATCCCTCTTTGGTCTTCGACGTATGTGAAATGATTTTATGCCACGTGAGAACTTCGCGAGAATTTTTACTTCCGCTAAATGAACGCATAGATTCTTAACTTTCATCTCATTTGCATTTTCTCTCTATTCGATTCTTATAAAAAGAAAACATTATTTGTTCTCATTGAAATTCAGAAATTCACTTAATCAATTCAACTTTTCATTAAGGATGTTTGACCTCTTTTCGAGCTTTAAGTATTTTTTAAATATTGTATAATATAAGTATAATCAACCCCTAAATTATTTCTACGTGTATGCAACATTTAGATGCAAATATTTTATAAGCACACCAATTGATCGATCATCTTTTTGAATAACAAAAAATATAAGAGAAACAATTTGATTATGAGTATCTTTTTATCAAACGATGAATCATCTCAGGTACCAAAAAAAAAACTTAAATCAATTGTACATTTCTTGTTTCTTTTTTTGGAGTATGAAAGGTCACGAAAAGGAAGTTGAATGGCGATGGGGGTTGAAGAGAAAAAAAAAGGAAACAAAAAAAAAAGAATACGCGAAGGAAAGTCTGAACGCGTGGGCTGGCAGTCTGAAGTTCGGGGGGTGACAATAGTCCTCATGACGATGCAGGAGGGGGCGTAGAGGGTGGAGACAGTTTCGCTATGTATATACGTGGAGAGAAGTGCAAAGGTATTTTCAGAGAGTGGGGACGATAAGGGCTGAAATCAGAAGGGGGCATAGGTCTCTCAGTCTCATTCTATCCACCGACTAACGTGTCCGATTTCACTGATATTTTCCATTCATTTTCAATTTTTCCTTGTAATCGTTTACTTCCAATTTGACGATTTTTTCGAATATATACCACTAGGATTTATTTAATATTAAATTTTGCTGTTATTTGTGAAATGTGAGTTGTTCATTAGTTTTGTATTTTTTTCCTGTGAAAAAATTACAAACAATTGTTGTCTGTTTCAAGTGGAAAATTTAGAAATACATTTAAAAGAACCCCCCAACCATTGAATAATATGAATTGTTGAAATTATTTATTAAACAAAAGCTATGGGTGATGCAATTAGTGCTTTTCGTTATGTTTTATTATATGCATTTTAAATGATGTACTAAGAAATTACTATTCTCGTAGTGTCATTTTCTCATAACTTGTGATGTTTAATAATAACTATGAGAATGAGTTTCCGTCTTACAAAAACGTCCATTTATTCAGGGAATATTATAATAAAAAACAAAAGGTTCTATAAACTGCCTATTAATTTCTGAAACTAGAACATGGTGCATAAGTTGTTGGATTGAGAAGTGTTAAGCCTAACTTAGAAACAATTTTTCATTTTCCTACATCTCTAATCTTTCAGGTAAACATTAAAAAACATTTGTGTCCCAAAAAAAACAAACAACATTTGTTTACATATTTCTTGTATTGTGTCTATCATTTTACTTATCACTTGTTTTCCTGGTTAAGCGTAAGATTGAAACTTCGTACATGGTAAACATTTTAACAGATTACTAATATAAAAAACATTCAAGTCAAATTGGAAGAAATTAAGTTCAAAGGAACATCAATCGATGTATTTAAAAGGAAAAGAACGATGGGCCTATCATCCAGTGGTGTTTACAAGGTGAATGATTAGGCAAACGTAATGTGGAGGATTCAGACTCACCCGCTGCGTCTTGAGCAGGACAGTGGATTACATCCTTCGGCAGCTGCACTTATTTATAATGGTACATCATTTGATATAGTCGTCTTGAGTGTTTTCTGATTTATTACTGAAACAAAAAAGATAAAAAAGGAAAGACAAAACCACAGAGTACGATCTCTTGCCGTCGATTCTTACACATCATTTCGAGGAATACATTTATTATACATAAGATAGATCGATGAGTCGTTTCCGTTTTTTCATATAAATTCTAAGAGTCCCGATCTTCTCTTACCCTTTGACCACCTCATCCTTCTCTACAATTTATTTTCTTCTCGGTTATTATAATCGGGACATGTTTGATACTCAATGACGTAAGTTTTTCAATGTATTAATAGGAAAGTTAGCATAGAAGAGAATGAGATAGAAAAAGAGGAAGAGGTGGAAGAGAAGAAAAAGAGATAATGATAAAGATAAAGATAAAAAAGGGATGAGAGATCCGACATGGCACTTGTAACGAATTTAACAACTCGACCTCGGACTCAAGGAGAAATATCAGATCGCATGCGTATTTCTGTTTCCTTCTCGTAGAAAGGTTCGGCCTCCTACAACGGACTTGCTCGCTGATTGGATCGACAGCTGGAACCGGGGCTTCCGGGGCGGTCGGAGGCGGACAGGTTCAACTCTGGCAATTCCTGCTGGAGCTACTCTCGGATTCGTCCAATTCTTCCTGCATAGCGTGGGAGGGATCTGACGGGGAATTCAAGCTCACCGATCCGGACGAAGTCGCTAGAAGATGGGGAGAACGCAAAAGCAAACCTAATATGAACTATGATAAACTTTCGCGGGCACTCAGGTATTATCTAAATATCATTTTATTCTTTTCTAATAACAAATATCTAATTCGTTAATAATCCTTATCATTTTAAGTAAAAATAGTCAACAAGTGCGTGGGCAATATAGTTGGTTTTAGAAATGCAAATAATTAAATATGTTCAATTGTTTCAATACTTGATTAATTTTTTGTTACAGGTATTACTATGATAAAAACATTATGACAAAAGTGCATGGGAAACGTTACGCGTACAAATTCGACTTTCATGGTCTAATGATAGCGTGCCAAGCACAAGCGGGAATTTCGATGGAACCACCCGTGTCTTCTCGAGGAACTGGACCAAATTGTCATCCTCATCATACGCATCATACTCATCATCTTTATTCAACAGGAAGTACAACCGGAACTCAACATCATTCTATACCACCGCCTCCTCCTCTACCACCTCCACCACCACCACCACATTATTGTTGGCCATATCATCGATATTCGCCACCAACGTAACGCCAACTCTTATTATTCCTCGAATTTATGAAGAACAACGTGAATCTTTACAGAACTTTTTAACGAATCGAAGGAAACGTGTTTGATCATTGTTGTTAAATAAACATAAAGGGAATAACTCTTAATTCAATTTGATATGAACGCAATTATTGTGTTCAAGTTCGCATGTACAATTTTGGTGTATATTTTGTAAAACTCTACTTTCTATATCTAATAAAAATCAACTTGTGATCAAGTAATGCAATACGTATGTGTAAGGCTAAGATATAATAAATAATAAGAAACTAAAATGTCAGCGGTTTTCTATTTAAAATCTTATTAACAAAATGTTTAATGATAATTAATGTTTAATTTAATTAATAATTTTTACTTTCTTTAATATTTTAAATATTATTTTTTGAGGAAAAATAAAATCGATATTAATAATTTCATTTTTTCAAATTTAAATTTAAACTGCATTATCGACTATCGAATAGGTAGATAGCATACAAGTTAAATACTAATAGTTAGTTCTACTTTACTACATGTAGATGTCCACCCATTCTTAAAATCTAAAGGCGAATCTACAAGTCGATGACATGAAGCGACAGTTTATCTAATTGTAAAGAAGATCTTTCTTTTTCTGTAAACGTAGAAATCGAATGAAGGCACGCTGAAATTAGGTGCTTGAAAAATCGTTTTTACTAAGGTATCATCGTTTAGTTTTTGTTATAAAAAAATATCAAACTATAACCGATAATGTAAAAATATTAATATTTTATATTTATTTCAGCTTTTTTAATAAATAAAAACATGTCGGACGTTGAAACGTAAGTGTGGTTAGTTGTACATAAATAATTACATTCTTAAAATGTTTAGGTTAATATTTTACGAATAAAAGTGAGTAATTATTAATTTGTGATTCATGTTTTTTTTTTTTATAATTTTGTGTTGTAAGGAAATTAATTATAATAGTTACATAGAGATTTCTTAAAGCGTTAACCTTAACCTAACTTTTTCTTGAAGTCAACAATGTACGGCTTTTTGTTAGATAAACTTATTTCAAATTATTTCATTATTTATTTTTACATTTTATTAATTATCGAATATAATTTACAGGAATGATGGGCCCTCCCCAATTACAGCAGGAGGTCCCATGGATGTAAATACCGCTTTGCAAGAAGTATTAAAAAATGCCCTAATTCACGATGGAGTCGTTCATGGTCTCCATGAAGCAGCAAAGGCCCTTGATAAGTAAGTTTAATGCAATTATTACTTGTACAAAATTTGAGAAACAATGAATGATGATATTTATGGCTCCCTCTTCTGAGAAGAACCCATATAAAATATCCATGCTGTTTCATGGCTTTGATTTCTGATAAAACAGTAAAAAAAATAATTTCATTTTAAAATTGATTAAGTCCATTGTTTAATTAATGTTTCCTTTTACTTAATAGGAGGCAAGCAATGCTATGCATTTTAGCTGACAATTGTGACGAACCAATGTACAAGAAACTTGTCCAAGCTCTTTGTAATGAACACCAAATTCCACTCATAAAAGTAGATAATAATAAGAAATTGGGTGAATGGGCTGGTTTATGTAAAATCGACAGTGCCGGTAAAGCCCGCAAAGTTGTTGGATGTTCTTGTGTTGTTATCAAGGTAAATATTAATAATGATACTTATATTTAGAAATAACTTGAAATATTAATTGTAAAACAATTTTATATGATGATAATTATGGCTCCCTCTACTGAGTAGAACCCGTAATATTAAATTGCAATGCTGTGAATCATGCCTTTCTGATATGTTATAATAATTGTTACACTTTTATTAAAGAAATAGATCAAACGTTTACAAAAGTTTAACATTTGCAGGACTTTGGCGAAGACACACCAGCCAAAGATGTTCTTATGGAATATTTGAAGCAAAGTTCTGTACATTAAAACATTTTTAATAAAATATTAAAAGATATAATCGTGGATCATTTATCATTCATATCATAATAGGTATGAATTATTAAATTATACTTTTCTTAATCTCAATCTTAATTATCACCTCTACCATTAGTAATTTTCTCACAAATATCTTTATGATTAGACCAATCTTTTACTTGACATTCTCTGCAAAGAATATTCAATTTTCAATTTAATCATTTAAGTATTCAAATATATTTTGCTTTAATCAATCATTAAAAATTACCGTCCACAGTACCACGCCTCTTTGCATTTGGAACAACGTTTTTTAGCTTGCTCTTGACAAGAGAAACATTTTTTAACATCAATACAATCCAATTTATCCAGATCATAAGCATCGCTTAAAATTTGTGCTGAGTTTTTAATATAATCGGTGTCTTTGGTAAATATTGACTTAGCTTGATGTTTGGCTAATTTCTTCCACTTTTTATTATATTTTTTTAAGATCATCTCTTTCATCTACAATACAATTAAATTGATAAATGTAAATTGGTAAATTGAAAACGTTTGCTTCGTACTTTATCAATAAATAACTTCAAGATTACTGAACTTTGGTAATATTAATCGGAAAGATATTTTTACCTGAGGAATTACTTCAACATAAATAGGACGAGATGTGGTTGACGAAGTTGATGACATACTTAAATAACTTAACCATCTCTTAAGATCAATTAGAGGTGCAATTTGATCCAATACGATTTCGTGCAAATATTTTTGTAACTGAAAGACAATAAGATTGTTATGTTATAATTAAATCTATGTCATTTATAAATATGGGATAAACAAAATACCTTCAGTAAATTCGATAATCTGTATTCAGTAATTTCATAATATGGAGCACATTTAGGATTGAGAAGTAATTCACGCAAACCAAACCATATTTGTGCTTCTATTTTTGAAATTTTACCTTCATCTTTAACTTTGTTCCATTTTCCATCGTATAACAGAACATTTCCTGTAAAAAGTAATATAAAATAATTAATTAATTTCATTAAATAACAACACTTAACTTGCATGGAAAATAATTACCTTCAGAATCATTTTTTGACCAGGGATGATTTTCTATTAATTGAACAAGTAAATAAGGAATATCATGTATGGATAACATTCGTAAAATTGCACTAAGTGGTAAACTATCTAAATATTCAGCTAAATATCGTAAAATTGAAATGCATCTCATTCCAATGTCAAATTCAAGTTCTCTTTTCTTTTCTAATATTTCTTCTAAACAAGAACTAAAACAAAACGATTAACATAATGACCTTGATGTTGTAATTAAATGATTATGTTTTTTTTAATTTACCTAGAATCTTTTAAATTTTCATATATTTCAACGTCATTTCTATTAAGAAGAACAGTCACACATTTAACTGCATAATCAATTAGATCAAGAACTGTATCATCCATCGTAATTGCACTCTCACAATGAAATAAAACATTTTCTAATAATGAAGCTGCTACATTCTCATGATAAAATACGCTAAATAACATGAATGTATTTTCTGGTTCGTTGTTTAATTCAATTAAAATTGGAAATACTTTGTGCTTCCATATATCTATTTGAATTGCTTCGTAAATTAAAATTGGTATCTAAGAAGATAATAATATTGAGATAAATTAATTATTAATTTTATAATTTTTAATACATTATTTCCAAAATAATTGTGTACCTTTTTTAAACAAACAAACCATTCTTTGATGCTCTCCTCTCGAAATTCATTAATTTCAAGAACACTTTGTTGATTTAATAGGATCAATCTTTTATGAAATTCAAACCATCTAAAAACATCATGTAAATGTTAATTAGATCAAGAAATACGTATGACATATTTATTGATAAATTAAAAAATAGTGTTATTTACTTTTTTGTACAAATATCATGCAAATCCGTCATTTCTAAACTTTGTACATAAGTTTCTGCTTCCCATGGTGCAATTATGTATTCACTAGTTAATGACATTATAAAATTATTTTAATTCAATGATTTTTAACAATTGATACTTGTGTATCAATATCGTTATAAACTGTAAACCATTTGTAAATAATTTTGTACATTTCTGTAACCCTGGCAATGCACAGTGATTGATCAATAACTAAAACAAATTTTTATTTCCGTACTTTATTTGTTTTATTTATAAAAAAAAATTAATTATATAAATGTTAAAAAAAAAATTGTTAATATCTCCAATTTAAAATTCAAAATATAATTCAAAAATTATATATCCAAAGATAACTGTCGGTAATGTGTTACCATAAGTCGAGATTCCTGCCATCTAGCGTTGTATGTAGGAACTAGTTACTGAATATAAGGAGTAAAATGTGTTATCAGTGCTCACTAATACCACTAGATTAAAGATATACAAAATGATTAACGTGTATAGATAACTTTATTGATAAATCTGCATTTTTAATATGTATAACAAGTAGTTAAATTCAGTCTTAAAAACATGTGGTAAGTACAATGCGTTGTGTGTTGTGTAGTGTGTATACGCCATTAACTATTGTTCTTTTTGTTTTATATGTTTATTGGTCTGTTTTATCATTTAAGGTATAGTTGTATAAGCGGCCTGTAGAGGCGTGACTGTAGATACGTGTCTGTCTCAAAAAAATTAATTCTCCTACCATCTAGCGTTAAAAGAGATAGATGTAATATAATATAGTGTAATATCATGTAATGTATGTATATAAATATGCATTTGTATGCAGTCTTCTGAATGGTAATGTAGGAAACTATTTTATCACATTGGATTTTCTTTTTGAAGGATTTCTGTACACAGTCAAAATATTATGATTTCTTCTATTTAAACAATATTATATTATGTTACAATGGAATTAGAAACGTTGTTGCGAAAAAGTGCCTTAACAGATAAAAGTAAGTATTAAAAAGAAATAAACAATTATATTTTGATTATATATTTTATTATTTAAAATGTATTACATTAATATCACTTTATTTATATTCTTTTACAGCTGAAACTAACCTGGAAGAGAGTGAAAAAATAGAGGATGAATATTTTCAAGAGATTTATGATCAATGGAAAGGAACTAAAGCAAAAGATAAAGACTTAACCTATAAAGTGATACCTAAGTTTTATTTTAAGGTATATAGTTTAATAAAATTATGATAAATATAATAAACCATAATGAATAGTTTAATAAAAAAAAAAAAAATATGTGCATGCATAGTTACCTAAAGAAGATGAGATACTACCACAAAAATTAAGAGAAGAAACACGTGCATTATTTTTACAAAGACGTTCACGTCAATTATTAGATAATAATGAATTAAAAGCACTATGGGTCTTGTTAGACAAATATCATAGTCCACCATTGTCAGGAGAAGAACAATTGATTAATTATGAGGATTTTAAAAAAGTTGGACAATTGGCTGGTACCAAATGTAGTCCTTACTTTACTGCAGTAGTTTTTGCTAAACTTCAACAAGGTGATCAACATGGAAGAATAAGTATAATGGCATTATTTAATTATGTCATGAGAAAAGTTTGGTTACATCAAACACGTATTGGTCTTTCATTATACGATGTCACAGGACAAGGATACCTCAGAGAATCTGTAATTTCAATATTGTATTTTATCATTCACAAACTTGCCCTTTCTCTTTTTTATACATTTCTCTTTTATACAGGATCTGGAGAATTATATTTTAGAACTTATACCAACACTGCCACAATTAGAAGGTCTAGAAAAATCATTCCATTCATTTTACGTGTGTACAGCTGTTAGAAAATTTTTATTCTTTTTGGATCCTCTTAGAACTGGAAGAGTTCGCATTCAAGATATTCTAGCATGCAGTTTTCTCGACGACCTATTAGAATTACGAGACGAAGATTTACCTAAAGATTTACAAGAAGCTAATTGGTTTTCAGCACCGTCTGCACTTAAAGTTTATGGACAGTATTTAAACCTTGATAGGGACCATAATGGAATGCTCAATAAAGAAGAACTTGCTGGGTACAATTTTATAACATTTATTTCACGCTTGTCTTGTTTTAATGGATACTAAAATAATTTCATTTATTTTGTAGATATGGAACAGGTACTTTAACCGGTGTATTTTTAGAAAGAGTATTTCAAGAATGTTTAACATACGAAGGAGAAATGGATTACAAAACTTATTTAGATTTTGTCTTGGCTTTGGAAAATCGTCACGAACCACAAAGCTTGCATTATCTCTTTCGAATATTAGATATTAATAATCGTGGTTATCTCGATACATTTTGTCTTAATTATTTTTTCCGAGTAAGTTTGTAATTGATTGTTACTTTAACAAAATGATTAATTTATTAATAGTAATAATAATATTCTTAATTAATAGGCAATACAAGAACAAATGACAACGCATGGTCAAGAACCAGTAAGTTTTGAAGATGTAAAGGATGAAATATTTGATATGGTTAAACCAGCTAATCCATGTAAAATTACACTGAAAGATTTATTATCTTGGTAAGAGATAAAGTTATGTTCAATTTTGCATGGAAGATTCATGTAATAATGAAAAGATTTTAATTCATTTTTAAATTATGCTTTTACATTCTTTTTTAGTGGTCAAGGTGATACAATGGTGAGCATTTTAATAGAATTTCATGGTTTTTGGGCTTATGAAAATCGTGAAGCTATGGCTGCTGACACAGGAGATGAGTCATCTCATGTTTGATAAATTAGAAATATGAAAAAAAATATATGTTAATCTGTAATCAAAGTTCCTTTATGACTTTGCTTCAGTAAAAGTGATAATATAGTATGATTGATATCATATCAGGGATGATATTGTACTATAACTATGCAGACTATATCCTAAAGTCTCTCAAATTTTAAGGGAGCATACTTAAAGTCTGTACTTTGACAAAACTATATAATATAAATACTAATTTTCGAATATATTATTCCAATATTATTCTAATAAATGCAAGACTATATTATATAAATGATATATAAATAAAGTTATTTTTATAAAATTACTTTATCTACTTTTGTCACACATATAAATCAATTGTTAATATAAAAAATATGAAATTTCAAATTCTATTATGTTACCATTCTTATATATCAATTATATTACAATTTTTAAGTATAGAAATGTATATGTGAAGAATTATTTAATTTAAATAAGATCAATCAATTGTTTTCATTGATAAATTTGTTTACTACTTCGTTTAACTATGAATGAATTTACTACGATGGTCAAAATGATTTACACTCGATTGTATTACACACACTCATTTATTTAATGTTGAATCGTGTTTGATTCAAAATATTTTAGCCAATCAGAAGAGTCAATTTTAAATGCCGACTAGTTGAATACAGCGCCACTCTACGTTGCTTGAGGAAATCAGTTAGGGCGTCGCAGTCTCTCAAATGCGATTGAACGTATCAGTTGTGTGTTTGTCGACGGACGCTAGTTCAAATATTTAAATATTTTTAACAATTTAATTCGTTCGGCACGTGTTTTTTTTGTGATCGTTAATTTTACGCATATTCGAGTTATCAAGAATAATCTTTTAGTTTTTTTACTATCGACGTAATTGTGAAATAAATAATATTTAATTTTTGAATTGACAAATTCTTTTTAATAGTTTTTGACGAGCGTCGTATTACAGTATGGCGGTCGCGTTTAAATGCAACGGTCAAAAATAACGAATTGTTGTGTGTAAAGTATTACGTGTTATACATTAATTTGTTAAACATTTATTAATTTTGTTTGTTAAAATATTAGAAGCAAATAAATATAAGAAATAGGTTATTTCAAGTATTAGTACCACGTTTCTCTATTTTGGAAATAACTCTTGGTCATTCATCCATAAAAAGGACTAAAAGAGAAAGTCACGAACAATGGACCCTTGGATTCAGGTAAAAATTTACAATAGAATATAAAGTGTCTTTGCTGTCTAATACAATAGATACCAACACGTGTAAATTTAAAAAAAAAAACAATTAACCTTAGAATTTTCTATTTCCTATTCCAGTGTGTATTGTTAATATTTTTATGAATTCTTTTTTAATTTTCATTCCTGCTGTACAGGAATCTTAGAACTTTGAATTCAGGTAAAAATTTACAATAGAATATAAAGTGTCTTTGCTTTCTAATACAATAGATACCAACACGTATAAATTTAAAAAAAAACAATTAACCTTAAAACTTTCTATATCCTGTTTCAGTGTGTATTGTTAATATTTTTATGAATCCTGCTGTGCAGGAATTTTAAAACTTTCCTTAGCATTTTACAATTCTACTAAAAATTCTTTTTCTAGTTTTGTAGAATTCTTTTGTATTTGATTTCTAAATTGGTTTCCCCCCCCCCAAAAAAAATATTCTGTCAATTATTATAACCGTACAATTTAAATTCACATTGAAATATCTTTCGTGTTTACACTTGTATTCATATTTTTCTATTAAATTATTTCTAGAGAATGTTAGAACGTGCTAAAGCAAGAGGAGAAAAATTGAATATGCAATTGTCCAATGCTGGCCATGATGTTAGAAGACGACGAAGTCCTTTAAAAGATGCCAATGCAATAATAGCACAAGCAGCAGGTATATTTTTTTATTACAATAATTACATTGATCTTAATTATTATTTTACAATTGAGTTATTTTTAATGTTTGATATTTAATAGTAAACAATAATAAAAGTCCTGCAAAATCTCCAATAAAATCGAAGAATGAAGAATCTCCTAAAAAATCAGCAAGGAAGTGTAGTCCTCAGAAAGAAACAGTCGAAGATGAAAAAGAAGCGAAACAAATTGATAAAGAAAATGGTGAAATAGGTATAAGCAATGTTAAGTCGAAGCTACAAAGACTGGGCAAGCTGTATTCTGGTAAGCATGAACGTATAAACACCACCCACACAGTTCCTTTAAAACCGGTTTCTGATACCATCTCATTGTGTTTGTATATATGGTATCTGTGGTTAATGCACACACCATGACTCTTTTCATTTGATTTGTTTCCTGTAGCATGAGAAACTCCCTACAATATTATCAAATAATTTGAATCATTGAAGTCTTTTTTTTACATTACAGCATCACACATTTTTTATTGACTTAATTTTGAATTTTGTTTTTTTTTTGTTTATTAAGAAATTATTTTACTATGCATTTATTTGTTATATTTAGAAGACACTTGTGAATTAAGTTCACCAATTCACAAGACAGAAGAGAAATTTTATGCTGAAGAAAATAATCAAACAGAATTGAAATCAGCCAAAAAAGGTGCCAGACTCGACAGATTGGCAGCTCTTGCTTCGACCATTAATAATTGGGAAGATGATTTGTCACATCCAGTTATTGTAAATATAATTAATTTTATTAATATTTATTATATACAAACATACAATATATTTAATAAAAATTTATATTTTTTTTTTTTTTTTTTTTAAGGCAAAAACATCGTCTAACAAGGCAGAACAAATACAAGCTAAATTTAATGATAAAGTGAAGAATACGACAGAACCACAGCCAAGTACAAGTGGATGCAGTAAATGGAATAGTGGTAATAATTCTGAAGGAAGTTCGACCAAACAATTGAAATGGGACAAATCTGTTTTACAGAGCTTGGTAAGTTTTGCTCTTTTTTTTCTTTTCTTATTATTATATTAAAAAATAAAAACTTAAAAAAATAGTATAATGATCTTATAAAAATAAAAAATGACTAAAGCTTTAGAAGGTTTTTCTGTGAAATATATAAATGCATATTATCTTTTATTACAAATATATGTATATATATATATAGAACATAATTATAGATGCAATAAAAAAAGATATTAGATTTATTAGATGGATATTTACAGGAGGCTCAAGGCTTTAGTCGTACGAAAAGCAATTGTCGTCTAGTGTATGACTTTAAGAGTTGTTCTCAGGAAACCGGAGGAGGATCGTCAAGTTCTTCACCCAAAAAAGAGAAAAATATATCAAGTTCGAAACTAAACGTTGTATTAGAAGGCAAGGTGACGAATGATGACAATGTGCATAAAAGTGCAAATAGGACAACTAAGGAGAATGCAAATTCAAATACACCAGAAAAGACAGTAAGAACTACAAATGCAAATACAAACAATTCTAGAATAACATCTAGACTTGGTTTTAATGGTTCACCCAAGAGTCCGATATCTGGTTCATCACCTGGTTCTGTATTGAGTAAAGCTTCCATGTTTGAATCACGAAATAATGATACTAAGGTAAAAGATCCAGCACAGATGAGCCTTTCTGAAAGAAAAGCTCTTTTCGAGAAGAACAAAGATGAAGCTCCGTTAATCCCAAAAGCACCACTTACTATGTCTATACCACCCAGTAAATTACACGAAAAAGAGACATCTAATTCGCCACATGGACATGGCGCAGGTATGTTATATAAATATTATTTAATATTTTAAATAAAATAACATTTATTATTATTATTTTTTTTTATTTATTTATATTATAGATCCGTCAGCAAATAATCGTAAAGTTGAAAATTCGAATAGAGTCGTAACTCAGCGTGCAATATTTGAACATGGTCACACACAAGAATTGGAAAACAATATATTGCGTTCTGCACAAATTGAAAGACAAAAAGAATTAGATATGTTACGTTCACGTTTCAATACCAATAAGGAAATAGCACAAGCAGCTGCTGGTTCCTGTATCAGAACAAGCGAAAGTAGCGAAGGGAAATCTAATTCACCAAAGAATTCTCCTATTTGTCCAGTTAAACCTACACCAGCACTCGTAAATATATTTTCATTTTTTACATTACCTTAAGATTTATACATAAATTAGTATAGTGGTTCACAATCAGTCCGATACACACGTCTTTAAGTCAACTAATTACCTTATACCGCCATTTGTTAGAATCTTATCGAACTAAATTGAGATATAAACTATCCTATCTTTCAAGTTGAATGAAACTGCACACAGTTTGCAAAATTTGATTAAAATCTGTTCAGTAGTTAGGAGTCCATTGCGGACAAACAACGTGACACATAATTTATATATAATAAGAAGAAGTTCATAAGTTATTAACTATAATAGAATAATGTTATTCCACAGCCACCTCCACCACCACCACCTCTTCCACAATCATCAAATTCGAATCAGAAACATCATTCAGAGCAAGAAAAATCTTCACCAGTTAAACGTCAAGGTAAATGAGTAATTAATTTTCCATCATTTTTCTTTTTTTTTTTTTGTAATACAGTTAATTTTTCAAACTAATGAAAATACATGATGTATATTAAATTACAGGAAATTTGCCAAAAGTAGCACAAAATGTGACTTTATCGGATGTTAAACGCATACGTGTATCCCCTCCGAAACCTGGACACCTATATCCTTCACTTTCAGATATTGAAAGCAGTACAGAAACGGAGACAGAGTACACCGTTGATAGCACAGAACCAATAACCGCTACTTTAGATGAAAACACTACTGAGAGTGAATCAGTTACGGAAGCTGAATATTATATTGAAGTATGACACTATAATGCAAAAAAAAAGAAACTATACAATTAAAAAAATAAAAGTATACTAATACTGTAAAACTTTTTTTAGAGCAACGAAACCCAGTTAGATAGCGAAGATGAAATCGAAGATGAAGTCGAAGATGTAAATACTAGCTTGGGAAGAAGCATTTTACATGAAGTTAATCGAAAAATAATAAGAAACAAGGTACTATTAATATTAATTAATTGAACCCTTTCGTACACGCACATTCTTTCATGGGTCATTAGCAACTAAAGGATTAATAAAATAGAATTTTGTTATTTTTGAAAAGTATGATAGAAATTTTGATGATTGCATGTCGTATTTGTAGAAGAGATCGATTGAACCTGATCCAGATAGTACGACATCTGATATATCTGTATTGGATGAAATGGATGAATATTTGGACGAATGTCTTGCGGCGCAAGATAGAAATGCGAAAAATTATTGTCAAGATGGACCAACACCACCAAAACTAAATAGAGGTGACAAAAATCTCGGAGCTTCTTGTGATAGTTTCCAATATACCCGGGGGTAAGATTTTCATTGCAATAAATGTTCGTTATTTTCGTGATTACATATTCAATTAAATTAATCTTATTTATTTTTAGATCGTTATATCGTTCTCCTATCGTTAAACCAGTGACTCCAGAAAAAAGTGAACAACCATACATTGTAGAAGGTGATCAGCATACTCCCTTGTTACGCACTGTCAGCAGCTATAGGCGTCAACAATCAGAAGTGAGTAAATAATATTGCAAGTTTAAGTCATTCATTTATACATACATTCATTTCTTTAATTAATTCGCATGTATTTTATTCAAAATTATAGTTACGAACACCGAAAGGTAACCTTCTTTCGGTATCCAAAGTTATAGAATCTTCTTCCGATTCTATGGAACCTTCGAAGGATGAAACAATTTTGGTACAAGAAAAAGTGAAACATTTATTGGACGAAGTTAGCAAGCAGCAAACGATCATTGGTCAAGCTAGTCAAGCTTTAAATTTATGCAGTTCTACGATCGAATTTAATGAATCACAGGAACAAGTTGAAGTAGAAAAACTTCTACTAGTTGCCAGTAATTTCATCATTTTATTATATATTATTTAAATTGAAATTTTGTATTATTTTAATTCTCCTTGTAATCGAAATATGATTTTTAAAACAGCTCACAGAAGACAAGCTGCTATAAACGAGATTCAAAGATTAAAAATCCAGGGTACATTGAGACCTTCTGCACCAGGTTCTCCGGAAATAGATGATACTGGATCACTTACAATATCAGCCATTACATTACCATTGAGACGTGAATACTTAAGAAGTATTGCTCCAAGTGAGTATCAATAATTGTTTAACTTTGAGTATATTTTTCTGAGTAATAAATTTAAACATACAAATTTTTCTAGCTACTTGTCTTCATTTCGTCTGTTTGGTACTGCATTTGGATGAAGTATTAGCAACTCCCGTGGTTGTTGCTGAATCTGGCGATTCTTGTCTACGTTTTCCTTCGACATTAAAATTACAGAATTTATATAGCGATTTTAAAGTAACCGTTGAAATTTATTCCCTACGAACACAAGCCGAAATGCTTCCCCATGAAGTTAAATATCACATTCATAATAATGGTAATGGACATAATGGTAATAACGGCAAAGATAAGAAGAAAACACCGAAAAAGTGTTCGAAATTTGATAATCGTTTAGTGATGCCAAGTGTTCAAAGTCCTGCAGGACCTTCTGCAATTCAGTCTTCTGCTTTTCAACTATCTGGTTATATTGTTTTCAGTCTTAAAGAAATAAACCGTCAACAGTTCACTTTAAATAAGGTACGTAAAAACATTTGAAATTTACATTCTCAAGAACAGAAGAATGTGTTTTATTTTTAGTGTTCTTACTGTACTTCAATTATATGACAGGTTCCACAGCAATCTCCATTGGAGGGCAGGTTGCAGATGCACATGTCTTGTGAACCATCAATAACAGTGGAATATCGTAATTTCTTAACAATATTTGAATATGTCTCTGGTTTTGGCATCTGGCAAAGAAGATGGATGGTGCTTAAAGGAACTACATTATCTTACTACAAGTATCCTCATCACGAGGGTAAAAAGACTCCTTTAGGAAGCCTTGATTTGCGTGGTAATTATTATTTCTCAGTCATTATAATTATGTATTGTGGGGACGAGCGCGCCTCCATGCCAAACTTATCGGGTATTCGTGAGAAGGATTGATCGGTGGGCCCTGGATAGCTCAATTGGTTAAAGAAAGATCCATGGTTCGAGTCCCGGTTCAGTCAGTCCAGCGGTCCAATTTTTTTCACCAATCCCACAGTATTGAATTGTATGGAAAGTAATTTCGTTTGTTTGTTTTTTTTCTGTTATCGTAGGTGTTTCTACAAAAATAGTAGATTTAGCACCTTTTAGTATTTGTATGCGTGCCAATACGGTTTTACTTGAATCAAAAAGAGCAGCACAACCTGGGGATACCGATAGTCTCATCATGGTTACAAATGGATCTGAAACAACAATTAGACATCTTTACTCGGCCGATACAAAAGAAGATAGATTGGAATGGTGTTCAAAACTTAACAAAGTATTACATATATTACAAGTCTGGGGTAATAGCTCTGGAATGTAATATTGTATAAAATAATGAATGTGTTGTTACGTTGTAAGGTATATTTAATCATTATTTTTAGTTAAATGCAATTAGTCTTATTTTAATGTGCGTATGCATTTGAAAATAATGCAATAAATAGTTAAATTCTATTATCATTTGTTACAAAATAGTAATTATTTTTTAACAATTTTTAAATATTACAACTTTCTCTTAGATCACATTTAATGAAACATTGATTGATATATATATATACATATACATATAACATTTAAATTACAAAAGTAATGTATTATTTAAACATGACTTAACGTGCATTAATTATTTCGTTGGTGTCTTTTAAGCTTTACAATGTTGTGTTCATTTATTATTGCATAAAATATAAATAAAAATCATAACGAGTTCTTGTTGTATAAGAAAATCTTGCTGTTGATAAAATAATACAATATATATTTTATATGATATTAAAAAAATAATATAATTTTTTAAAATAGAACTCTTGCCAACTCACACGTAATAAACGAATATCATATGAATATATACATATATATATATATATATTGCACGAATAAAACAAATTTTTCTTTGCATTCAAAATGACTTCGTAACGTTCTTAACAATTTGATTTTTATTTTATTTTATGCAAATTAATTTTTTCAACTTTATTTGTATCAAACAAATGTAACATTACACGTGTTAGCTAAAGACACCTATTCTATCAATTTTTAAGCGTATTCAAAAATTACGCTATTATTATGCTGCTCTCTCTCTTTTTTTTTTTTTATAATGTTTTCGAACAAACGTAACGCGTTAAAATTTTATATTAATTATTTTACTTAACGTATATTTGTAAATAATCAAATTAAAAATGATTTATAATGTAGTATAGTAATTACTATTTATATATATATAATACATATATTATAATATATCTATACACATATATGTATTTATTATATTTCATGTATATGTGTATAGGTATGAATGTAATTACATATATTCATAAATATTGACATACTTTATAATTTTTTATGTAATCTCACAAATTTTTGTACCTACGCCTTTACAAGTGTACACAGATTTTTTTTTATTACAAATGTTAGATATAAGCATATATATATATATATATATTACTTTTATATTCACGACTAAGTTAGTGCTCGTTTTTTTTTTTTTTTTTTAAATGAGATTAATTAAATATTGTTGTAAACGAGTTGTTTTTTTTGGTGTATAATAATATTAGCAATGAAAAAAAAAAATAATTGGATTTTTGTAACCCTTTTGTTACAGGTGCTTTGCGCACAAGTATCTTCCCTTATTAATTTACTTTTACATGCAAATTGTGTTGTAACGAAAGGGTTAATATAAATAATATAAATAATTATGATCTACCCTTATTAATTTGCTTTTACATGCAAATTGTGTTGTAACGAAAGGGTTTAATATATAATAATACAAATAATGATGATCTTATTTTTAAGAAATTTAGGAAGGACAACTGCAATATATATATATATACATACATACATATATAATATAAATAAAAGTGAATAACATATACAAGTTTATATGCATTTACTGCATTGTTTATTATAGATACAACAAGTTGGTTGTAGGTGTGTGTGTGTGTGTGTGTGTGTGTAAAAAAAAAAAGAAAGAAGTAAGGTATCTCTCTTAGTAGATGTAATTTAATCTGCGACGTTGTAATGAACATTACGCCGTCGTCGTCTCGCGCTTGGTTTTGTTGCTTAGAACGAACTCTTCATTGATGATGTGTCTTTCTCTCTCGTTCAAAATGTGTTTCTGTCTGTCTGTCTGTCTGTCTGTTGTTTGTTTGTTTGCTGCTGGCAGTTTATAAGTATTACATCATGTATTATATCTGCGGAATGGACACGTTTTTCGCGAGAAGCACGTGACCCGTGTTAGATCTCGTAAGACAACATTTGCATAGAACTACTACTACCATGCTTCTTCACACGAAATAACTCAAATGTTATTCGTGAAAAGTTAATCTTCTTAAATTTAATAATACCATCGAGAAATTATCGGAATTTTTACTATCATTCATTATTCTTTCTTTTCTTTTTTTTCTTTGTCAGAGGAGATGGAGGAGGAGGATGAAGAAAACAAAAAAAAAGAAAAAATAGAAATCATCGAGATCTCTCGATCGTTGATTAAATAATCTTCTGCAAGTGAAAATTAAATCCTAAACAAAAAGTAAGAAGAAGAAGAAGAAGAAGAAGAAGAAGAAGAAGAAGAAGAGTAATGAGAAGAGTGAAGAAGAAAAAGAAAGAGAGCAAATTTGTAATCGAAAGTAACCACGACTTTTTACGAAGCCTTAAATAAGAAGAAAAACTTAACACGTTTTGAGTTTAAAACCGAGTTGTGTCTCATCCGCAGCGTGAATACATGAGAAACAAACGTTACATGTTAAGACGAAATTATTGTTTATGATGCGCTTTTATCTATGCGAAGTTTGTCGAAAAATCCTAAGTGACGTGTTCTTGTAGTTTAGCGTAAGATTCCTTCGGCTTCTTGAGTAATATTAAATCGTCCTTTTGAATTTATTTCGATACGAGCTGAATGTTAGGATGGAAACCGTCCTTGTCGGCAGTGTAATCAACCCTTAAAATCAAAATCAAATTGTATTTTTATCTCAATTCTTTATTGGCAGGTATTTAGATTGATTTTTCAATCGAATATAATGCAATTTATTTTACCTGTACGTATGACCATCCGGAGAGATGAATGAAAAACTACCCGTGACGGCTAATTCTTCATCGTCAGTACCCTCGTTTTTCAATTCGGCAGTTTCGTCTCTTTTCTGTCCATCGCTTTGTTCGTAACTGAAGTGATATCCACCAACCCCGATATTGTTAACTTCCTCCTGCTTTACAATGGTGATGTCATTGGGATTACCTTGCGGTTTACCAAAAGTTACGACTAAAAGAGCCGCCAGTACAAATACCTGCGTATTAAAAGACCAATTATCAAAATTTGTTGTTTCTTTTCTTTGTTTAGAAGAATTGTATTAATTAATTATCAATCGAATTCACTTAATCAGTCCCAAGGGGAAAATAAAGTAAGAAGAAAAAAAAATAAATAAATAAATTCCTTCGCGAAGAAGTTCTTGGTCAAAATGGTGTCGTCGGTGGTTTACGGTAGAAAGATTGATCGATCGAAGATGATTTTCACCGAGAGAATTTGATAAGAGGCTATTAAAAAAAAAAAGAAGAAAAAAATTTATCTCTCTTTCTTTCTCTTTCTCTTTCTCTTTCTCTCTCCTTTTTCGAATGTCTGGGATTACACGAGAGAAGAGCTCATGTCCGCCCGCACGCACAGAACGAACGTCACAGATCCTCTCTTCACTTTCACTGTTGCGTAAAAAAATAAAAAAGAAAAAAAAATAACAAGGTAGAAAAAAAAAGAATAATAATAATAATAATAATAATAAAAATTTTAGATGCTTGGTGCTTCGGATAACCGAAATCGAAAATCGTCTTCTCGCGTCTTGTATTTGTTTGTTTATGTGTTATGTGTGTGGTGTTGTAGGTAATAGTAGTAGTAGTAGTGCCTGCGGTTTTCGTTCCCACGACTAATTTTTTCTTTTTTTTTTTCCTAAATTTTTTTCTTTTTTTTTTCTAGACACACGATCCATAAAATTTTTTAACTTCTCTAATGGAATATATTATATAATGATTTTTTTTTCTTTTTTTTTTTTTTTATGCAAATGTCTTCTCTTCTTTTAAATTTGATTTTTATCTCAATCGTATTTGAATTTTGTATATTATTTTGTTCTGTGTCTAAAAATAAAAAAAAATAATTTTTCTGATTCGTAATGGCACGCACCGTCTTCATGATGATAGATTTAGTAGTTTTAAAAGTGTTCGTAAGCGAATGTGTTTTCCTTGCACCCTTTCGTCCTTTAACGATGAACTGATACGTGATATACCAGGGATGTGCAGTACATCTGCCTTTATATAGTCGGAAAATCCCAATAGATGCATACCCCCCTCCACTCATCGGATAGTCTTCGAGATTCATTTGATCATGTTACCCTCCCCCTCGTACTTCTTACTCTCTCACTCGTTTATGCGCCCAGGATGCATCCGCGATGCACCAACACTGATGCTGCATCACTATGCAATGCTGCCGCGTTCGTTCATTCGTTCCTTCGTTCGTCGATGTTACAAACATCGTTTGTTTTATCTTCTTCCTTAAATCCTCTTGTATTTTTTTGAAGTGAAGAAAACTTCTTTAGAATCAGGGTGATTTGAATATCGTGAAACGGAAAAACGTGAAACGGAAGAAACCGTGAAACCGATGAAACAAAAATAATTCATTAATTAATCAAATTCAATATATTATTTAATTCTATATATTAATTAATTAATTAATAAAATTCTGTATATAAAAATTCAGTGTCACAATATGTTTGTCCACTAATAATTGCGAAACTACTCAACTTATTTTAATGAAATTAATTTTATTTCAAGTTCATTTTTCCAACTTAGCAAATAGCACAATTTTTATCGCGACTTTTTTTATTATTATTATTTTTTTTTATTACTAATTTAAAGATTTTTATGTAGAGGTTATCTAGGTTTTCTAAAGTTCTTTCAATAGATGGCACTGTATTACAATTCAATTATTTCGATATATTCACGTCTCGAAACTTGGTTTTTTTTGAAGGTTTCACTTCTACCGTGTGTGATTTGCACACATCTATTTTTTTTTAATTATTTTTTGTTACTAATTTAAAGATTTTTATTTAGAGTTTATGTAGGTTCTGTAAGGTTCTTTCAATAGATGGCACTGTATTACAATTCAATTATTTCGAAGCTTGGTTTTTTTTGAAACTATGTGTGATCTGCACACATCTGTTTTTTTCCTTCTATTTTATCATCAATTTTTATCATCATTGTTTTTCATGTGTACTTGCATCGATTATTATTATCAAATTAAAAAAAAAAGGTAATAACAATGGGGTGACCTCAATTGAAATGTTCAATCACAGAAGAGTTTATCACGAGAAGTGTGTAATTTGAAATAAAAATTCCTTTTTCTTCTATCGTGAATATTTAAATAAAACAATTTGTGTTATCTAATATTTAATAATAATATGTATTTATGAGTAACAAGTTGGCATAAGCTTAATATTATTATTCACATTATTGTCATTAAAAATAAAATAAATAATTGATTATTTTATGAATTACAACAGTGTAAGGAAATGAAGGAACACGTCAGGAGGTTTATAAAAAAAAACAAAAAACGTCCTTCAACTTTTCAATCGAATAAGAGAAAAGAAATTCGTGATATAAACGAATGCCAGTTGCATTAGGGGGTTAAAAAAAAGTTTATACAAGAGGAAAAAAAAAAAAAAAATCCTTCGAACGTACTCCATATAGATGAAATGTCGAGATAACGAGCAACCTCCTCATGAGGTGGTGGTTACGAGCCTAAGAGCTATGGAAGAGAACTATGATGCAACTGCAGTGTTATTACCGGCTGCCAATGATACCTCTTTTGATTTGTATTATTAATTGATCAGAAAATAAATAAATGAAAGATTTCAAACATTGGTAGAATATAAAAATAACCAGGACAGAATTATATGGATGATTTGTACTGTAATTTTTCGATTGCAAAGTCACCCACCACCCCCTTGTTTCAAATTTAGTTTATCGAAAGCGGTAATAATACTCGCACACACCAATTTACGTTCTCGAACGTCCTTGGTTATTGTGACATTTAGTTTTCTCTCTCGACGTAGTAAAGTACGTTTACGTAGATGTTGAGGAAAGTTAATGACGTAACACTACCGGTGACCTTGCCATTTCCGAAGATGCGCTGCTGTAGCTGCTGTAGCTGCTGTTGCTGCTGCTGCTGCCGTTGACGAGGACGCCTCCGGCTACCGTGTTTCTCATCTTCAACTATCTCTCCTTCCCCATATTTAAACGACCTATCGTAGGATGATCCACTTATTTTATTTATCTCTATGTGATGATCTCTCCAATGAAAAAATGAATCATTCATCATAGGTGTCAAAAAGGATTAACGATATTTAAAAATATACCAAACAGTTATATAATTGATTCCTGATTTTATCAATGATTAAATAAAAAAAAGCAAATAAATGTTAATCTTGTTATCAGTGTATACAAATTAGATCACAAATATTTTCTAATTTTATGAGATGAATTTATTGGATTGTTCGGAATGTAATTTCGTTTTTTTCCTCACACAATTTTGGTATTAATTGAATGCAAACTGGTAAATAACAACACATGAGATCCATGAGAGGTTAAATTTATCAAATTAAACTGTTAATGCCCACTTGAAAGGCCTAGGTTTAATCTCGAAGTGAAAATTGTCTTAATTTTTATAAAAAAAATAACGAAATTACTTTCTGAACAACAGAATATTTACGATTCTCAACATTGAAATTCAGTAAATCATTTATTTGGACCTAACAATAAGATATTCTCAGATTTTTTCCACTTCCTAGACACGGTAATGTGTACTTACAAAACATGATGATAAAATTAATAACAGTTTTATCTAGGATAGATACATAAATATATCTTATTAAACTTCACGAACCCATTAATTTCGAATAATTAGTTAAGACTTATGAGTTACCACCCACTTATTTTCTATCTTTTTCTTCTCGCTAAGAGTGTCTTACTTTTTTCTTTTTTTTTCTTCTTCTTCTCGTCTAGTCAAACGAGGAGCCAATAAGCAAACATAAACGTGAAAGCGTACACGAACGAAGAAAGGTTGACGGTCCACTGAGATCGTAAATGGAAAGAGAAATAATACTTGTCGAAAATAAACTTATCTCGATTGTGCAAGAATCGAAATAAGATTCGTCAATGATGGTTGCAGGATCGTCAACATCATAATCAATTTATTGAAGTGAAAACTTCTTTAGAATTAGGGTGATTTGAAAATCGTGAAACGGAAGAAACCGTGAAACCGATGAAACAAAAATAATTCGTTAATTAATCAAATTCAATATATTATTTAATTCTATATATTAATTAATTAATTAATAAAATTTTATATATAAAAATTAAGTGTCACAATATGTTTGTCCACTAATAATTCAAAAACTACTCAACTTATTTTAATGAAATTTATTTTATTTCATGTGTTTTTTTCCAACTTAGCAAATAGCACAATTTTTATCGCGATTTTTTTATTATTATTATTATTTTTTATTACTAATTTAAAGATTTTTATTTAGAGATTATCTAGGTTCTGTAAAGTTCTTTCAATAGATGGCACTGTATTACAATTCAATTATTTCGAAGCTTGGTTACTTTGAAGGTTTCATTTCTACCGTGTGGGATTTGCACACATCTATTTTTCTTAATTATTTTTTATTACTAATTTAAAGATTTTTATTTAGAGGTTATCTAGGCTCTGTAAAGTTCTTTCAATAGATGGCGCTATATTACAATTCAATTATTTCAATATATTCACGTCGAAGCTTGGTTTTCTTTGAAGGTTTCACTTCTACCGTGTGGGATTTGCACACATCTATTTTTCTTAATTCTTTTTTATTAATAATTTAAAGATTTTTGTTTAGAGGTTATCTAGGTTCTGTAAGATTCTTTCAATAGATGGCACTGTATTACAATTTAATTTTTTCGATATATTAACGTCTCGAAGCTTGTTTTTTATTCTCGTTTATGTTCAAACCCAATCTCTCTTCCCGTTTCTTCGAGGACACATTTTTGTTCGTTTCACTTTTACCATATTTTTTAATCTAAATATAACCAAAAAAAAAAAAAAATCTTTTTCAATAGTAAGTAATTTTTTTGTTGATTGAAAACAAACATCAAAAGAAATATTTAATCGATTATAAAAGCATGGTCATCGGTAATGTGCACATTCATACGTCTAACGAATTCACATTTTTATTGCAGTCGTGGAGAATGGATGATGATTTATTGTGTATACATCGGTTATGTAGTCTGGTAGCAATGTTCTTATGTGTGTGCCAGGTAACGTCGACGACGATAATTAGAAAACGAAAACTTCACCATCTACGTTTGTTTTTTTTTTTTTTTTTATCTTTTCTTCGCATAAACGAAGATATGTATATGTGTGTGTGTGTGCATGCTTTGGAATATTCGAATGATAGGATATTATGAAGTATCGAAGTACATCGTAAAATTTATGTAACAAAATCATTTCGAAATCTAGCAATCTAAAGTTTGATAAATCTTACACCGTGATAAAGTAATCAATTTTCCCTATAGAAATATTTGTATTTTTTTTTAATTTTCATATTCATTCGAGAATCATCATCATCATCATCATCATTATCATCATGATTATTTGTGTATTATCTTTCATCAATATTTTTACAAATATTTCTTCTCTATTAAAATCAAAATGTATAATCCTAGTAAAATCAAAAAAACACCTTTCTTATAATGAAGACATCAAAATGCAACTGGTGTTTGATCTATGATCTATCCATCGATCACATTTTCATTTTTGTTATTATGAATAAAACGATTCATCAAGAAACAAAAAATTTCATTGTTCATTTAAACGAATGTTTCAAATTAATTTGTATTAATTATTCTTACGTACCACATGGCAGACATTTCTTTCGTAATCCTTTAGATAACACAATAAAATATTGTGCATTAAATAAAGAAGTTGTTATGGGGGTGGAGGGGGAGAATTATGGTGGCACTTGATAAGCGCGAAAGTGAGTAAATGTCAACCACAATGTCTCATCTCCCTCAAACCACCTCCACCCACCCTTTCTATCGTCAATTCATCTTCTGGTATTACACTGGGTTAGCAAATGTAACGAGCTACGTACGCCAGCAATATGTTCGATATGCCAGATGTGCAATTACCTTCACGTCTCATGATAATCTCTACTTGCATTTTCAACACCGTAAAGGGAACTTTAATGAAATATATTACCGACTAACTTTATTTTTTTTTTTTGCTTATTCTTCTTCTTTAACTTTAATTCCACCCTTTTACTTTTTCGGTCTCTTTCTTTCCGTCTTTTCTTGACATTT